AATACACTGAACAAAAGAGTGAAGAAAAGTGCCAGGGAAGACAAAAGAAAATATTATGAAACCATGGCAAACGAAGCAGAACAAGCTGCAGGCAAAGGAGACCTCGCCACACTCTACCAAACAACTAGGAACCTTTCGGGCAAACGTTCGACACAGATTAAGCCAATAAAGGACGACAATGGAAAGTCAATCACCAAAGAGGTGGAACAGAGAAAGCACTGGGTTGAACACTTCAAAAGACTTCTAAATCGTCCGCCACCTACAACACGTCCAGCAATACCAACAACGGAAGCAGAACTACCAGTGAACACTGACCCCCCGACGAAATCAGAAGTCCTGAATGCAATCAAGATGCTTAAAGCTGGGAAAACACCGGGACCAGATGGAATCCCAGCAGAGGCTTTGAAAATAGACCCAGAGACAACAGCGGACTTGATGACACCACTGCTGGAGAAGGTGTGGAAAGAGGGCAAAGTACCCGAGGATTGGAAGAACAGTTACTTATTCAAACTTCCAAAGAAAGGAGACTTAAGTCAATGTAAAAACTGGCGTGGAATTATGCTTCTGTCCATTCCAAGCAAGATACTAAGTCGCATCATCCTGGAGAGAATCAAACAAGCCCTAGATGAAAAACTTCGTCCGGAACAGGCTGGATTCAGGAGAAACAAATCATGTATTGATCAAATCGCCACTCTACGGATCATCATTGAACAAAGCTTGGAATGGCAGTCACCTCTCTATCTCAACTTCATCGACTTTGAAAAGGCCTTCGACAGCGTCGATCGAGAGGTCATTTGGAAACTACTTCGCTACTACGGGGTCCCATCGACAATTATACACCTCATCCAACAGTTATACGACAATGCTGCATGCCAAGTAATCCACAACGGGAAACTTACGGAAGCCTTCGAAGTGAGGACGGGAGTGAGGCAAGGCTGTCTACTATCACCAATGATCTTCCTGATTGCAATTGATTGGATAATGCGACAGACAACGGCAACCAACGAGGGAACAGGCATAAAATGGACTGACACAAAAGACTTGGAGGATCTGGATTTCGCCGATGATATATGTCTGATTTCCCATAAACTGGAAGATATGCAAGTGAAAAGTAACAAGTTGGCAGAAGAAGCATCAAAGATAGGACTTCACGTGAACATAGATAAAACAGAGATGATGAAGATTCCTAGCCAACATCAACAGCAACAACAACAACAGACAACAATAAGCATAAATGGGAAGAACCTGAAAGAAACAACCTCCTTCACCTACCTGGGAAGCATCGTCTCAACTACAGGCGGAACTGACGAGGACATCAAAGCCAGAATCGGAAAAGCAAGACAAGCTTTCATTACTCTCAAATCTGTGTGGAGGTCAACAGCACTCAGCATCAAAAATAAGATCCGGATTTTCAACTCCAATGTGAAGTCAGTGCTACTATACGGATCAGAGACTTGGCGAGTCATAAAGAGCATCTCAAACAAACTTCAAACCTTCATTAACAACTGTCTCCGCTCAATACTCAAGATCAGATGGCCAGAAAAGATCAGCAACAGGGATCTCTGGGAGCGAACCAATCAGGAACCGATTGTGAAACAAATAGGCAGAAAGAAATGGAGATGGATTGGCCATACGCTGAGGAAACCATCAAGTGACATCACTAGACAAGCCCTCGAGTGGAACCCGAAAGGGAGGCGGCGAGTTGGTCGTCCAAGGGTGACTTGGAGGAGGTCATGCGAGGAGGAGATGAAAGCATGTGGACAGACCTGGAGCAGGGTGAAAAAGTTGTCAGAAAACCGAAGTCAATGGAGGTGCGCAGCTGAAGCCCTATGTTCCTCTAGGAACTAAAGGATACAATAATAATAATAATAATGCTCAAATTTTTTCAAACTGTTAACAGTGAACTTGGTTTGGACATGTACAGCTATCAAAATGAAATCTTCCCTGAGCTATATATGTTCTACAGATTAATGAAATCATAGCTGCAGAAGAGTAACAGAACCACATTTATAGAAATAATGTGCGGGTATTTTTATTCTGTTTACTTAGAAGACATCATCAGGCTTTTCAGGTTAAAGAAAAAGATAATAATGCCGAGAGATAGTCCCAGAAACTCGGATAGATTTGAAGAAATTAGAAGGCCAATGAATGACAGCACAACCTTTGTTAGAAACAGGACACAAAATAAATTTTAGTAGGACCGTGTTTTAATAAAAAGCTCATGAATTGCATAAAGAAAGACTGACTCCAGGGTCTGACTGTTTTTACAGAATTAAAGACACATATACTAGTTGATGTATGGTGAGTCTTGATCAACCAGTAAAACAAGTACCTGTCAATAATTTTCTTTCGAGTTCGACTACGGATTGATATAAGTTAGAGAATCATTGAACTGGACAGTTAAAATGTGTTTGCTAAATGTAAAGATATACGCATCAGTCATGGGTACTTTTTATCGCCAGTCTGATGGATTAGGTATGGGGAGTTCATTGGGTCCTATATGAGCTAGTAGTTTCATGGCAAATCTAGAGCAGACTACATTGAGGTCTGTAACTGATGAAACGACAGTCTACCACAGATATGTAGATGATACATTCACTATATGAGGTGATTTGAGTGATGCTTCACCTCTGTTAGGCTTATTCAAGAATTTACACAAGAATATCATTTTAACGATGGAGTGTGAAGACACTGATAGCTTCCACGTCCTAGTTATAAACTTGGAGAGATAAATGGATATGACACTCATGAGATCGCTATATCGTAAAGACACATTCAGCGGTCTATAATTAAACTTCAACAACTTCTGACTGGTCATTTGCAAATAAACACTGGTGAAAACGCTTCTCTTCAGAGCGAAAAGAATATGTTCACCTGATAATTTAGACAGTAAACTAATGTTGCTTGAGAATTGCTTGAAATAAAATGGTTATTCACAAAGTTTTATTGACACATATGGTAAGAATTAGCGTAAGAAACCTGATGTTAACACGATCAGCATGAATCTAGGTTTTATCGAGCTCGTCTTCAAAGGTGATGGTACTATGGGAATTATAAATAAAAGATTAGGCTAAGTCCTGTGCAGAACGTATCCTGCAGCAAAACTAGTCTGTCTAATCTGAACATTTTACTCGTAAGTGCAATCAAAGAGTGACATATGCGACCTCCAGGTGCATATATCTGCGGGAGCAGTTACATTGGAAGAACAGAGAGATGGGTCTACGTCAGGCTCATCGAACTTGGGCCAAACAGCTTCCAGTTAAAGGGTTCAGATATTTTAATCTCTTCAATTACCAAACACCTGATAGGTATCGGACTCCTTAGTAATTCTTGGTCTTCTAACTTCATGAACTTATCTTTTCAACACCCACCTTACATCGTTTCATCTGTTTGACTTCCATAAGAGATAATATTTCTTGAACTTATGAGTTCTACTCACCATATTACATCATCACCTTTTCATTTTAACTCTTGCAAACGAAATATTTTGCTCTTCCCTTATCTAACTATGTTACTGTAACTGATTTTTTGTTATCATCCCAACAACAAACTTCTCTCTAACAAGATATATATTTGTTAGTTACCTTGTCATCCTTGTGTTTTACTTCACCATGACACTTTTACGATGTGCTTGTTGATGACAAAAGTATGTTAAAATGTTTAAATGGCTTTTATTTATTTATTTATTATTATACGTTGTGTGCAGCTGATGAGAACCGACAAAATAAAATGGATGCATACAATTCTACACCAATGTTTGTTCTTTCTTTGCTCAGAATTTTTCATTATCATTTGTGTATGAGATAATTTTTGTTGTATTCATAAAAATATGTGCACATGTCTGTCAACAAGCTACATATGCGAATGGCTTTCATTTCATTTTAGAATCCGAGATTGATGACAGTATTTTTGCCCCAATGCATAACCGTATGTTGGTGCATGTGAATACTTATCCTATGCATTTACATCCATGCGCATGACTGGGCATAGCTTCATATACCTGAATATCTTTAACTTTTTTCTATATCGTGAATCGGCTGAATTTAGAATTGATTGGTCAGTGAACCGGGTCCAGTGGATAAATGGTTCACAAGCTCGCTTTTTAACTTAAATACCCTGGATTGAAATCCCGATATGAGTGTACTGATGAAAAGAGTTGCAAACTAGGATAAAACAGATGTCCAGTACTCCCATGTCTTCCAGTGCTTCTCTAATCAATGTCAGCTGAGGACGAAATCCTGAAAAAGTGACTCTGTCGTGGCTATGACTTAATGACTTTAGGGCCAAACTAATGATCTTTTTTGCATAGTATTTACAGTTTATTGGGTGAGATATAGTTTTTTTTTCTTCCTTAGAATAATGTATTCAAAATTTTTAAGATAATGTTACAAGTGTACGAAATTCGCCATTCATACTTTTGAAAATCTCAGAGGAGTCTTTAAATTCAGTGAAGCAGTTCATATGTCTACCGGACTGTTAATGTCCAACATCTTCCCTGTGTTTTTGTATTCACCCACTCAGTTTTCTTATTTTTTTTATCTGATCAGAGACTCCCTCAAAACACTCTACAAATAAGTTTTTGTCAAGTTTAAAGAACTCCTCAAATTCTTTGTCTAATTTTCTCCAGCCTAATGATGCAGAGACACTAAATTGACGATGGATATTTTCGCCTTTAATGTTTTCACAAAATTAATCACAACATTCTAAATTAACTAAAGGAGGCATAAATCTTATTTAGACGTTTTAGAAGTTCAGTAACCAGTAAGTAGTAAAAACAGTCGCTTCCTGTCTACATTCTAACGTTTACTCGCTATATATAAGGCCTCTGTGAACAGGTATGCGAAACCATAGTTCCTATTCTTCCATTTCATTGGGGGAAAAATGGAGCTAACATTGTTATAATTGCAATTATATATCAATTTAATTTGTGTTCAACACCAAAAAAATTTAAAGAATTGCTTTTTTTGGAATAACAGTTCAATAATGAATTGAAGATGCCATCAACTGTCGCAAAGCAACACAACAACATATCTGTAATCACTTGAATTTGAAGTATGACTTTGACACTGGCCAGTACCTATAAATCAAAATAAACCTTTTACAACAAATGGAAGTGGAAGTTTCTTTTTCAACTGTCAATTTATTCTTCTGATTCTAAAGTAAAAATGGAAGTAATCTGCGAAAATGATTCTGATGGGTTTACACAGTGGTGAATACATTGAAATGTAGATGTAATTTCATCAACACTGTTCTTATTACATGACTGAATGATACCATGTGTACTAGACTATCTCATACTCCTCTTCCTGGTAAACGAATCACTGCATATTAGTGAGAATATCAGTAATGTGACAACTATGTTTTGATCCCACATACTTATTTTTCAAGATATTTTGTTATATTATTCATTCCATTCGGTTGTAAGGCACTCAAGAAGCTGTGTATGTAAAGAACATCTATCTCAGGATTCACCTCAACCTAAATATATTTGCAATCTTTGAAGCAAGTACATACTTTAGACATTTTCATGATTCGTTTGCAAAGCATGGAATTAAATACCTTGATCCTGACATTCTACCAATCTTAATTTCATGAAAGTATTTGTTTTACTGTAGATGTTACAGCATTTCACCAGACATTTGATTTGACAGTCAAAATCAGTTCGATTTTTTAGTCGATCACTCACCTGACAAATTTTCTGATACAACTGAACAAATGAAATTGAAAGAGAACGCATACTTCAATTTTTGTGTGTTCTCAGCTAATCGGCTATATGTGCTCAAACACTGGAACTTTCATGAAATTAGGGTAATCATTACAGATTTCCTTTCATCGAAAGAAATTTTCAAATTTCAATTTAAATCAATTCACAGGTATGACTGTGCCACCTTTAGTGTTTTTCAAACGTATATGCTATCAGTGGTGAATATCACTCACAGTGTGTTGCTAATTCAAACATCACATATTCCCACCGAACTCCCAAAATTACTTTAGTTCAATCAGCAAATCATACCTCGTTACTGTGTTCTGCATTCCGCATAAATATAACGCAGGCTTTTTTAACAGGACAAAAGCGGTTAACCCTGATGGAATCTTTACTGGAATCATTTTCTACTTTAATGAAATAGTCTCTTAGCGAAGAATTATCTATGAGTCTTTGTTATCTCACTTTTATCTTCATCAACAAAACGTAACTGTCTTCTGAAAGTAATAATGCGTGCAAATAAAAAAATATTTTGTCAGACCGTTTGAGATGTGCAAGGTGCAAATGACATTCAGGACACCAGAGTCCTTCCTTCTCCCAGGTGATTAACATCGCTTCTATTTTCATATCGTTCGACGTGAACAATCTAGACAAGTTGAAACAATTTTCACATGTATTACAGCAAAGTGAACCTAAGACATTTCGTAGTAATCGACTAAGTATAGATTTTCCTTAAAATTTTCTGGCATTACGGTGTTTGAAATGCGAATCCCATGTATTACGTTTTCTCACTTCATAATATTATTTGGACTTCAAATTGTCTAACTTGACACAATCAACACGCAGTCATTTAACAGTATTTGAACTTACTTTTCAGTCTGGTAGTTAGCAATATTTTTTGATGGCCAAAAATTAGTTTCACTAGAGTAGATTTTCATGTAAATGCATCAAACATTTATCAGCATTCATCCTTGCATTTTCTCTAATCATTAATTTTAATTTCTCTCCCTTTGCCCGTTCCCACTCTAGATACATAAATTCGCTTTTTTGCAGAGAAAATTGTCCTGTAGATGAATGTTTTCTGATAACTAAGAGTTGTAATCCAAACACAGTTGACGGGTTCAATGTATGCATGCTGAAACAAATGACTTATTGCTGAGTTATTTTGCAATCTTAAGAGTATAAACCTTATACCTGTGAATTCTTAAAGTTGATTTGCTATTCAACCTGCTTGCAGAAATTATCCTACCCAAAAATGAAGCAGAAAAACAGAATATTTTCTAAGTTGTTTGTAGAACCGCTTCACTAGTAGGCTGATCTTTTTCTTCTATCTGTACCTTTAAAAGCAAGCAAATGATTTTTACACTGGGTTTAAACATATCTGTACACTGGAGTTGACGTAAGCTGACAGAATCGAATGGTTTTTTCTCGGGAATAAACGAATTCATCAATTTCATGAACTAAGAAGAGGTACATTTTTGGCATACACTCTAATAAACAGTGTGAATTGTTTTAAATATTAATTCCTGCTCTTACTGTGTCGTTAGGAAAACAAGTCTGAATGGAAAGAAATTTGTGAGAGTTTCCATAAGATATTTTATAGTAAAATCAAAACTAATAAAAATGTTTTTTTTAAAACAGAAGACTTTTTATAGCTAATCTGATTCTCGTTTGTTTGTTAAATAACCGCATAGATAAATGAATACAATTCATTACTCACTGATTTTCTGTATAACCGCGTCTGTAACACAGGGTAATAATCAAGTTCACACAAAATCTTTATCATATTTGGTGAATAGTCGTCAACTCAACGAGCTAATGGATGTTCATATGCGACATATATCAAAGTTATTGTTATTCATACATTAACACCGATTAGAGTAATAATTTTCACATCTCTCAACTGAAAAAAATTACCGGTGAAGTTTTAATACGTCATGAAGAAGATACAAGACAAATCCAACGAAGGAAATTTTCTTTATCGACTGTACAGTCGTACTTATGTCTACCAAAAATGTAAAGTGGTTTATTATTGAGTAATGGCGGGTGACATAATTGATGTATAATCACTCAGAAGTGGCTTCAAAAGCAAAAAAAACTAAAAGTTGCAAACTAAGGAGCACTCAAATGCACAAAGAAAAAAATGGTTAGGAATTTGATAAAGTTAAAATTGCACTCCTTATTTAGCCATTATTTCCTTTCTGTAGCCACACTGGATAGTGTTCTTTGACCCTTTTTGATAAGATGCGCGTTGAACGACCGATGTACCTGGCTCCACAGCTACAGGTGAACTGATATATACACATAGAAGTGGTCATGTGTGGAATCTTGTCCTTTGGGTTTCTGCAGATCAGCGGGCGACTGGAGAACACTATTATTAGTGTTGCCGCAGGGAAAGTTCTTCCTAAAGAGATGGAAATTCTCCTTCTGAGGACGTCACTAAGTAGGTCTCCTTTGAAGTCTAGGTTCATATAAAGTATCTTTTTTGGCACGGATGATGTCTCTTGCTTTTGGTTTTTCTATTTGATGTTTTTCTCTACGAATCTTGGTGGGTAGCCATTTTGTATGAAGATTTCCCTCAGGAAGTTTAGTTCTTCTTCCATGGTGTTGGAGCTGCAGATGCGTCTGGCGCGAGTGGCAAGAAATATAATTAGGTTTCTTTTCCGACTGATTGGTACCCAGCTGTAGAAACTTGTTAATTGTCCGTTCCAAGTTATTTACAGACAACAAGGTGGGATCGCAATGGGATCTCCACTGGGCCCATTACTGGCAGACTGCTTCATGGCAAGCCTCGAGAACGGCCCATTCAAATCCACCATCGACAATTTCCAGTTGTACGTTAGATATGTTGACGACATCTTTATCATCTGTGATGACGGTCACGATCTCAATAAACTGCTGCAAATATTCAACAAATGCCATCCAGCCACAAAGTTCACTTTGGAAACTGAAAATAAATCTAAAATCCCTTTTCTTCATGTTGAGCTTACAAGGAGAGATGACGGAACTTTAAGAAGGTCAATCCATAGGAAACCGACTTGGAACGGACAATTAACAAGTTTCTACAGCTGGGTACCAATCAGTCGGAAGAGAAACCTAATTATATTTCTTGCCACTCGCGCCAGACGCATCTGCAGCTCCAACACCATGGAAGAAGAACTAAACTTCCTGAGGGAAATCTTCATACAAAATGGCTACCCACCAAGATTCGTAGAGAAAAACATCAAATAGAAAAACCAAAAGCAAGAGACATCATCCGTGCCAAAAAAGATACTTTATATGAACCTAGACTTCAAAGGAGACCTACTTAGTGACGTCCTCAGAAGGAGAATTTCCATTTCTTTAGGAAGAACTTTCCCTGCGGCAACACTAATAATAGTGTTCTCCAGTCGCCCGCTGATCTGCAGAAACCCAAAGGACAAGATTCCACACATGACCACTTCTATGTGTATATATCAGTTCACCTGTAGCTGTGGAGCCAGGTACATCGGTCGTTCAACGCGCATCTTATCAAAAAGGGTCAAAGAACACTATCCGGCTTGGCTACAGAAAGGAAATAATGGCTATATCAGGAGTGCAATAATCGAACATCTCGAAAAAAAAGTGGTTGAGTGGCAGTATAACAAATGTGTGAAGTGGGTGCGAAAGTGTACAAAAGGAATATATGGGAGTGATAATAGTGAATTAATTATTAAAGTAAAAGCAAACGAAAATTACAATTGTTCTAACTTGGTCTTAACCTTTTCACGAGTCGTTTCCCGTAAATTGTTTATTTTTATTTACTTTGCATTTACTATAATGATCATTTCACGATTATCACTCTCATATATTCGTTTTGCACACTTTCGCAACCTGTTCACACTTGTTAAACTGGCACTCAACCACCTTTCTTCTGACTCAATAACAATTTTTTACTTCATCAAATTCCTATCCACTTTTTTCCTTTGTGCAGTTGAGTACTACTTAGTTTACGTGTTTATTTTTTGCTTTTGAAGCCGCTTCTGAGTGATTATATATCAATTATGTCATCCGCTATTACTTATTAATAAACCACTATACATTTTTGATAGATATATAAGTATGACTGTACAGCCAGGCTCTGAAGATGTTTCGTCGATAAAGAAAATTTCCTTCGTTCGATTTGTCTTTTATTTTCTTAGGTGTTTTTATACATATCAAAAAAACATTTTAAAATATGACAGAAAAGTATTTTCTGTTGCTTACAAATATGGGACTAAACTTGAAGGAAAAATATTTATGATCATTTCCAGAGGAGTTCAGTAAATAAGTTTAATAAATATGTTTACCAAAATAAAAAATGAGTACAATCTGTTAATAAAGATGAAGTATCGTCTTCACTAGTGATGACTATGGACTATGATCCTGCATTTCATTATGGAGTTCTGAATCTTGTGAAGAGTAACCTGTTAACAAGTAGTTATTATTCTGCTGAGTTGCAGTGGTAAGTTCATGTATTTGCACGGTAGTTAGGCATTTCAACATCCAAAGTGGAGTAAATTCTGTAGATACGGAATCATTACCCCAGACAAAAAAAGTATATTTCTGGATAGAAATCAGCTCTAAATGTGAAAATATTATAATTATAAAAGTTAAACTTTATACCAGTGAGGTGAAATACGAAGCGTACACGACATAATTAAATTCGACTTTAAAATTCTTCATCGCTGCAGTTCACAAGCAAATTAATTTGAGAGTGAATTGTGATTGGCTTCTCTGAGTATCACTCTAACCTTGATTTTTATCAGCACGTTGTCAGTATAGTAACATTTCCCTTACAATTAAGACAAATGATTTCACACTTTTTGAGTTAAATTTATGTAGTAATTTCCTCATATAGCTTGCTTCAGTTACTCAATCACAGGTTGTGCTACACATTGGGAAGTTTGCATTGATTTGCATGCAACAATACCCCACACGTGTATGGACAGTGCTTTTGGCATTTAAGAGGAATCGATGTACAAATATTTCATGTCGAAAAGGGATAAAAGTTAATCAGGCATAGTATACGTGATGCAATGTATATTCTAACACTAGTCGCCGGTGATTTGCAGTGAAAACGTATTTATCCTCAATGATAAAGCTGAAGCTTTTTGGAAGAATGTGCATTCAACCTGTCAATCAGTTATTCCCCTCTCTTAGTTAATGTTCTTCTCTGAATTTCCAATCTTCTCAGATTTGTATTATTTGAGAAAAGTTAACCGTATGCATTGCTGAAGTGCTTCAGTTCCATGGACAAAGGAAACATTCAATTTTGTTATTTGTTTTGGAGTCTGAAAAGAGTAATTTCAAATATTGAACGTGATGCAGTGATAAGGAAACTTCACAGCATATATTGTACTAGATTTCTTTTAAACGAATCATTTATGCGACTATTTCTGTCAGATTACAGAAGGTCTAACACCCTGATGCATGTATTGACTCGAGTTTTGCATAAAACTGTAAAGAAGATATCATATTCAACAATGAGGGAAAGTCCAGATCCTTATGTTATTATACTTACTCGGTGACATTTAGCCTGTATTTGAAGCAGTAAACAATAAGTTAAGCCTTATCGAATCATTTGCTTGTGTAAAATAAGAAACGTATTTGGGGATTGTTGAAATGGTAGAAGTAGGGTTAGTTAGCACTTAAATATTTCACTTGTTTGCTCAATGTGTCACGCTTAATTACGTGATAATGCAGTTATTTGCTGTGATTTTTGCTGTGATACTATTTGCCTTTAATTGAACTGTCCAGGTACAATACATATAAGACGACACACGTCTATCGTAGTCTGTGTTGCAACGGTATCCAGTGTCACTACAGCTCATCTTAAATCATCTGCGTGAGATCAAAATGTCTTATTGTTGTTCACCAGCCGTGGGCAACAAGAAGAACAAAGTGATTCGTCCTGAAAACTATTGTTTTCCGGTCAAATTTCTATCTTCTTGACATATCAGTGGACGAATACCGATTTTTTCATGACAATCTGTCTTGTAATTTTTTAATAGGTGGAATGAAGAGTGAACCATTTCAAAACGTTCATGTTTCACGAAGAGATCACTTCAATTTCTAGCAGTAGATTAGTCAAGAAGCTCGAGTTCAAAGTGTAACAATGAATAACTCATTATGGAATTATTACTCCCAGTGCATTTTGTAAAGGAAATCTAGTTCATTCGGATATTTCACTCTTCCCTCTGAGTGGTATACAGAAAATTGTAATTACTCGAATTGGTACAATTCATTGATTGAGCAGAAAGTGGCATATTATAAAGTTAATTGAAAAGACAAGGCCGTAAGAAATTTGAAAAGTAGATACAAGTCATAAAATAGTGATTAAGGTCTACTGATTAGGTATGAAAGAGTGACACAGTCACATTTACTGCTAATATGAAATGACTTTATCCAGTATGGGATTGTACTCCACCAGAGTGGCTAAATTATTCTCCTATATCGGGCACGATTTAGTACAGACAGCTATATATATATATATATATATATGAACCTGCTTGTTGATTCTGTCTTGAAACTTTCACACCAATCCATTAGATATAATTCTCAAAATTATCGAAGACGTCGCTAGTATACACTGCAAAATATATGCTTGTCTACTTATGTTTATTATGAGAAACTAAGTTTTTTGATGTAACCATTACGAACACTGTAACTTTCATAAGTTCAAATAAACAATAAATAAATACTGATTAGGATATTAAAGTAGTAGTACTGACTTGTATGTCACTGATGTCTTTCTAAAAGGGAAAACAACAAGAATATTTTTATTGAAATTCTTACTAAAGATATTATTTATTGCATGGAGGATTTCATCATAAGTTGACAGTATTTAGAGAACCACTGGAAAACCTGGGAGTACTGGACAGCTGTTTCGTCCTAGTTTGGGACTTTGCAGCAGTAAGCATCCACCGCCACGGTTCGAACTCAGGTCCTTCTGGATACAAGGTGAGCTCGTAGACCATTGAGCCACTGGGACCCGATCCATTGGCCATCCCATGAATTCTAAGTTCTGCCAATCCACGACACAGCTGCTCCATCTTCGACCTACCGTGACCAGTAACTCATCGAAGAAGACATTGCGGAATAATCGAGCTATGTCGTGAATTGGCAGAAGTTAGAATTCAAGAACCATTGGATCGGGTTCCAGTGGCTCAGTGGTATACGAGCTAGCTCGCTGTGTAACCAGAATGCTCTGGGTTCGAACCCTGGTGGGTGGGTGCGTCCTGATGAAGGGTTTCATACTAGGACGAAATATCTGTCCAGTACACCTGGGTTTATTCTGTATTATCATTTGGTGCGTACTGCCAATGATTCGCGAACTAGGATGAAACAGCAGCTGTTCAGTACTCCCCAGTTTCCAGTGGTTCTCTAGCTGATATCAATCCGCGATCAACTCGTAAAAACAAAAGTAACCATTAAAAAACAAACTATAGAAAACAATGATATCACAACCATGTAGAAAACTTACAGATTTAGAAGAGGGATTGTTCTTATGATCAGTTAAGCATGAAGTGCAAAGTAAAAGGGTACTAGAATTAGGCTTTATCATATGTTTGATGGGAAATAGTTAAACCTGTGAACCACACCAATTTAAATAGCAAAAATGTGATTCCATACATTTTATAAGAGAAACGGTTACAAAAATCGATTCAAATGACTTGGAAACAAGTGTTATTAGAAAATACAGCAAAATACATTTCATACGATGTCCATAGGCAAAAGAACTCAATTCTCCTCAAGTTCGCTGAAGCCATCCATTTCTATCAAGCGCCTGAATACTGATTTATGAGTCACGAAAGAAGCGGTTATCAGTCTTTCTTTGTCCTGGTAACTGGATATTTTTTTCATCTGAATGCGAAATGCTGAAAAATTTCTATTGTGTATGATTTTCATTGTTTGGAAGAGTATTTAATATTACATAAGCATGTATATTATTAATACTCTATGCATATTTTTATCGATTAATTTTTGTTGAAAATGAACTCTGCGCAAGTATGTTAAATTTGATTTTGTAGCTATGCTTAATAATGTCTTTGCCCTGTAAGTAGCTGACGAGAAGGCAACAGAATAAAAGATGGTACCACTTTATTCTGCCAAGACTGTAGTTCTCGCTTTGTTCAAATTCATACGATATCATATGACTTTGTTATATCCAACTACAAAATGGCATATAACCGACCAGTTGATATAACCCATTATTCGGAAGTGTTATCAAGCTTTCATGTATGATACAAGATAAACAACAATTACTCACGCAATATCTAGGTATCTGGATTGAAAATCAGGAAAGCAATGATTTTAATGTAATAGTAACACTAACTATTTACAAAGTCGCTAATAAATAATGAGCAAATTTGAGCAACCCAAATCCACGTTTATTTCTTTGATACTAAATAATGATACTGGAAAATATTCAAAATTTCTTAGTTATATACTCACCTGGTTATGTTAGCTCCATATTCACTAAAAATGAAATAATAATAAAACAGTTAGATAAAAATGAGAAAATTTAAGCGATTCATTTAGAAATTTTCAATTCTTTGATTTCAAACTAAACCTTCTTCAGTCTTCATTCAATATGATTATGTTCAGGTGAAGCTACAGACAGCAGAGGTGGTAATGATTATTTGGCCAACAGTGACAGCAACAACAAGAGCCAACAGTCAGCATAAATGGGAGGAATCTAAAAGAAGCAACCGCCTTTATCCACTGACCTGGAAAGCATCGTTGCAATTACATGTGGAACTAATGAGGGTATCAAAGCAAGTTTCGGGAGAGCAAAACAAGCTTTCAATACTCTCAAGTCTCTGTGGATATCAACAGCACCCAGCATGAAAAATAACATTGAGGTTTTCAACTCCAACGTGAATTCAGTGCTACTATACATATCAATGACTTGGCGCCGCTTCACGAAGGGCACTTCGATCAAACTACAGACTTTCATCAACAGCTGTCTTCGATCAGTACTACTCCAGATCAGATTGCCGGCCAGAAATTATCAGCAGTAGTGAGGGATCTCTGGGAGCATACTCTGGGTCATACTCTGAGAAAAGCATTAGGTGACATGACACTCCAGGCTAAAGCTTCAGTGAAACTCGAGTGAGAAGCGGCGAGTTAGTCGTCAGTGAGATGGTATAATGGAGTAGGTGATGCAAACAAGAAATCAAAGCATGCGTGCAGACATGGAGCCAGGTGAAAAGGTTGGAGGAGAACCGAACACAATGGAGACGTGTGACTGTAGCCCTGTGTTTCTCTAAGAACTTAAAGAGACAATAATGTTAAATAATAAGGACTATGTGTAATAGACTGTGTTTAAAACATCGGCATTCAGTTAATAATAATAATGCCGTTTCACTGTGTGATATATATATTAAACAAATTGGTATGGAAGCATATTCCAACCATATTTACAGTTCTAACTTAACTGATTACCTGTGTGTATGAATCCGTAACCACTAAAAAAGGAAGGTGAATAAATGTAAACATAGCTGGTAAAGTTGTACAATAACGAATGCATTTTTTTCAAGTAAACAGCTAGCTTATTAATAAAATAAGTGCCGTGTGCTTTATGTGTTGACAAGAGCTGTGTTCATTTTTTGTCATGCGAAGTGTTGAATTTCCACAATAAACAGAGATATTAAGAAACACTCGAAGAAAACAACACCTTCAGGGTTTACATTATGTTTTAGAAAATATCACTTACAGATCTTTAGTCATGTTTCGCCTTGGGATTAGATTCCAGAAAGACAATTATTGACATATTCAGAATGTTATAAATACACTTGTTTCGCTGCAACCTGTATTATATATAATACGTAAAAGATGTTTGCATTATAGTGGCGGATTTTTATTGTCTTGCCCTGTGACAATAATTACATGGAACACGTACGGAGGTCTAATACCAAGCCGTAATTAGGAATCACTGGGAGTTGGTATGTGGGGATTATTTGGAAAAGGAATTACACAATACAAACTTAGTATAACTTCATTACCAAGTGTGACAATGAAGACTGAAACCTTCTTTTGGAAAAATAGTAGTATTTGAGAGGATTAGTCAAGAAAATTGGACAAATTTTCAGAAACTTACAGACATGATAATTCCGAAAACCTGAGAATAAATGTATCAAACATATATATGTATATATATATATGCATGAAGACGTTATCTACTACGTTATCTTTTATTTGTAGTGCATTCATCCTACTCTGACGAACAAGTTACACCTTCACGATTAACACACACATGTTACAGGGAACGACATTTTAAGTATTTCCGTTTGAATAACCTGACTGGAACTTGGATTGTTTCATTCACCATAATTTAAAGCCTAATATAAACAACAACAAATGCTCACCGAATCACCTTTGGAGTTTTTTCTCACTATTGAAACTGATATAGACTGGTAAGGTATGCGCCAACTGTTTCGCATTTTTTCAGTAGAATGCATCGAAACAAAGGCCTGAAGAAAATTATGACGTCAGTCAAAACGTAGGATGAAACGGTCCTACTTTTGCCAGCCTTCAGTGAAATGAACAAGCAAGTGAACTCAAATCTCCTGAAGATCACAGAATCCGTTGGTGTCAGTTGATGAATCAACAAAATAACCATAGTAACTTTATCTGCCAAGGAATGTTCACTCTAAATCTTTGCTTCAAAAACTTACCCTACAGTCAATTGAATTATTGATTTCATTTTCCTCTTACATAATGACATTACTACTCATAAGACGGTAGGCGTTGTATTTCTGACAACTGGATACACCACAAGAGCTTCTGCCCAATTCTGTTTGTTGAAGCATAGTGACCACATATTGTAGCTACACCTTTTCGAGGTATTCTAATTAAACTTGTGAAATATTAAATTCGTAAATGCAGCTGCAGCTCCTTTTTGCCAAAATGATGTTAGAAAAATACATACAAGCGAACAATATTGTTTTCAATTAGGTCTTCTTCAGGCTTTACTCTTATTTAAATAAACTTGTATATAAAAATTTTTACCAATGACGGTGATTTTGTGGATGAAATAATAATAATAAAATGTAACCGGAAGGTCCTGGGTTCGAATCCTAGTGGGTGCGTACTGCCGATGACCGCCCTAACTAGGATGAAGCAGATTTTGTCCAGTACTCCCTGGTTCTCAACGGTTCTCTAACTGATATCAATCCATGATCAACTCGTAAAAATAATGTGGTTTTCAAATGGTTCTCTAACTAATGTCAGCTCATGATGAAATCCTGAAACCAATCAAATCCCTACAAACCAACCCTTGAATGTGATAAATGTTTTGAACGAAAAAAATAACGATGATTATAATCATAACAAAATATTGATAATAAGGTTTACGCAGGTGATAAGAATAACAAAGATAGTATATGTATATATGTAGACAATCAGTAAATAAATAAATTAGGTCAAATCTTAAAAGGTGAAATGGAACGATCATCAAAGTTTAAATAAATATCATAAAAGTACGAAAGAGATGGAAGATAGGAAAGGGTTGGAGGGTTTTGAATAGAATTCACCTAGGCAAGCAAGGGAGAGACAAAGGTAGAACAAACTTCTTTGTATACAAAGACTAGGATTGTTCTCTCGAATTCCATAGCTTCAGCTAAGTGTAAAAGACAGGTTCTGATTCCATTTGAAAGACTCGATGGAATGGGATAAATTACTTTGAAGGCACTATTTTTGTCCACTTGGTGTTGGTGTTAATAACACTTGGATCCATGCTATCGCAAATAGATGCCCAGCTATCCTATTCAGTATGGTCATTCAGCATCTAATTCAAAATAATTCCATGAAATAGAAACTGTCACCTTAACTTTAAAAGTATTAAAAGCATCTCGTCAAATCTTGTGATCATCGGGAGATTCGTGATTTGAAGAATTTGGTTGTTGTGAAGCTGCGCAGCCGGTGAAACCAAGCCATTCATACACAAACTTTAGAAGGCGTTTGCAAAAAATAAATCGCAGGCAAACAAAGTGCGTTTTCACACAGTATATTGAGCAATTCAGATTTCGAATTCCACATTGCAGTGTGTTGTTTGCAGCACTATATATATTGTCATTATGCATCCTGATATATATTAAATGACATTAGATTATCAAATAAATATAATGGCAGGTATTCTTACATAACATCCACAGATTTCTTCCTAAAGTAAAAGTTAGTATATTCTAAGATGTAAATGTGTTAACTGAATGGCAAAAATAAACGATCGCCGAAATATTTGCTAGAGATCTGTGACTCTTCTTTCAGTTGAATTAGTCTTCTCGATATTCCAGAAGTGAACTAAAGTATGAATACACTTTTTCTTTAAGCATAACGATTTAGTGTACGAATATTTAAACCAGTTAAACGACACTTTGCAAAATGACTCCATTGTAGTCGTCATACGTGTTAGTATGTGTATTAAACGAAAATAAACTTTGCAGAAAATATAAAAACAGAATGACTTACATATGATCTTCCACAACTCTACAAAACATTATCGTATGCATCATCTGCAAATCATCTATGCAATTAGCTTAATTTTAGTAGGCAGTGTGAAAAGTCCTACCAAAGATGCCTTCAAAGGAATTAAATGCATATCCACGACCTCATTCTCAAAATGCTAATGTATCGTTGAAATAGATGACAGGAGCTTAGATGGATATTTTTGTTCATCTCCAGTGGCAAATATCAATAACTGAATCTTCATTACCTGAGAAACGAATTCAGTTTTACTTTGTTCCCGAAGTCTTCACAGATGATTTCGGGTTTTCGGTTGTACTTAGGCATTCTGGTTCAATAAAGATGATTTATGAATGTCGTAGGCGAACTATTTTAACAAGCGCTTTGATCTTCATCCTTGTGATGAAGTAACTTCTAAAGCATATCGAACAGTTAGATAGCGTTGATTAATACATTGGAAAAGTCAAACAATGTGCAGAAAATATTAAAAATGACACTGACATACATGCCACACCTATGCAGAAAAGTCGCCGGGAAGCAACACAGAAAACAGATATACCGCAAATGTTAGTAAATGCAAACGTGTAAAGTTGAAGTGAGATAAACTACTTGGCGCCAAATGAAGACGAAGACATCACCATGTGATAAAACGTCGCTGGAATTCATTTAAATGTTGCCATTTATGTAAGCTCTATTTAAATTGTACATTCGTCACTGAAGAATAGTCTTACTTCACTTATTTCGAACATCAATGAATGCAATTCTGTAAATATCTTGATGTGACCTGAAGTTACGGCGAATTCACAATTTTCTGTGACCAGTTGAGATATTTTTTCGGTTGTTTCATCGATTTATTGCATGGAGGATTTCATCATGACTGATATGTGTTGGCGAACCACTGGAAAACCTTGTAGTACTGGACAGCTGATTCGTCCTAGTTCGAGACAATTCATCAGTTCGCACCCACCGACGGGGTTCGAACCCAAGATCCCCTTGTTACAAGGCGAGCTCGTGGACCATTGAGCCCCTAGGACTCAATCCAATGAGTTCTAACTTCTTCCATTTCACGACATAGCACAACCATTTCGCAATGTCTTCTTCGGTGAGTTACGGACTCATCTTCGACTTGCTGTACCCTACTGGTCATAGGTTCTCACTCGAACCCCGAATTAAATGCCTGAATAAGGCCAGTCGCTAGTGGCCATCAGAATTATTTTCAATTTACGCTTGTGTTCACATCAAATTTCTAAATACTTCTATCACTCCTCAATATTTTACTCTAACAGCATTCGTAAAACTATAAAATAGTATTTACATTGAGGAGACCCTTTGTGAAACACGGAATAGCACAATGTATTCAAATGTCATTCAAATATTTCTACAAAGTGAGTGAAAACATCAGGAATGTAAAACGTTTTTAAATAAAAATTACGAACTAACAATTTTTGTAAGATGTTCAACCTAATATTAATGTAAATGTTGAAAAGAACAATGTTATACCTTGAATTTTTTATTATCGCCGTAAAAATTGCACAACCTAGTGTTGTATAAATATTCCCTCTTTAGAATCATTCCAGTCTTATACACACACGGTTTGTACACCTAACGGATTGTATGAAAAGTGACATTACAGAGTGACTAATGAGCTTCATATCAAGAAATATTATCTTAATGTTGACATGTATCCCAGAATCATCTTCTTCCCTAAGGCTGATTTTTGTGTGTAGTAAACAAAGGTACAGATGAAATATATCTCCGTTCAAGTCGACGTGCCTTTCTTTCAGTAGAAGTGTGAAACAATTGACACTTGGCAGTTACTTAGGTAAGTTATCAGAGATCAAGATCGGCTTTAACGGTACCATACTTATCTGTGAAATATAAGAACCGAGAGAGAGATTCTTTGTTAAAATGGCATAATGAGGATAGGTATTTTTCCAAAGCAATAACGAAAGTGAGGAGCTTCGCATTACTTGTTAAATCTAAATACATCTTATCAATTTCAGAATTTCCTCATGAACTGATATCATTTATAGAACCACTGGAAAATATGCTGGGAGTGTTACGCTGCTGCTTCGTCCTAGCTTGGGAATTTTTATCAAAACGCACACACCGGGGTTCGAACCCAGGACCTCTGGTTGCAAGGCGAGCTCGTAGGAACCCGATCCAATAGTCAGAGCATGAATTCTAACTTCTGACAATTCACAATGTAGCGCAACCACTTAGCAATCTCTTCGATGATTAACTGTCCTCACCTTCGACCTGCTCTACCCCACTTGTCACAACTTCTCACTAGAACCCAGGTAACTATCTACCGCAATAGAGCTAGTTAGTAGTTAGCATCAGATTAATATTTAGGTGTTAGTCAGCAGGGACTCTATTAGTTACCATGGTCACGCCATATCATGAATTGGCAATTTGTTGGAATTCATAGACCTTTGAATCGGGTCCCAATGGCCGATCTCAGTTCATTATGAAATTCTGAAACCAATCAAATCCCTAAAAACCAACAGTTGAATTTCTTATCAGTTTATTTTCCAAACAGTTTTTCACGAGAATTATCAAAATACCATGAATATTTGGTGTAGATATTTCTGAAATGAAATTATACTTACAGCTCCTCCATGAAAGCTAAGCTAAATTTTAAGAATGAATAAATTGTGATGTAACTAATAAGGTGCACAGTAAATTCCCGATATCTGACATTTAGTCTTTTTATTACGACTCTAAATGTCCACCAAAGGGTTACGTAATATTTGTTTGTGCACACATACCTTCCTAATCAAGTGGACGCAAAGAAGATAGATTTCGTCACAGACCAATATCACTTAGACAGTCATTAAAAGGCACAGGGCACTAGACAAGTGTTTAGGCCCAGTGCTGTGTGCAGTTGCCATCCATCAGCGACTGAAAGCATGACAGCATTAAACGTTCGGTTACTTGGGCGAGAACTTTACTACCTGTGAATTGTCACTTTTGTCAGTTCACGGTGTGACTCAACCACAAACAGATGCCATCAATGAGTAGCTGTTCAGTGCTCCCTGTTTTCCAGTTATTCTCTGGTTGATGTTATCTAGTGATTAAATCTGTAGTGAAATAAATCTAAAAGTGTAAGAGTCATGCATTCTAAGTACATTCGTACACATATATCAATAAATGGGAAGTTAGGTAATGGACTTACAATATTTTAAAAAAAATAGCACTAAAATTGAAAACGAATTACAAAGTTATGAAGATGATTCCATGCTAAAGGTGCCTCTTATCACCCTCATAATCATTTGATCAATCAATAAGTGGTGTCCTTCTGAATTCTATCAGTCACGTTTTCAATGTAGCCATCATGCTAGGTAGTTCACCATCATAATGCACTCAGAAATTTTGTTATCAGATGGTTGGAGACAGTCATTAGGAAGTCTTAGACTTATGTTTCGTGCGAGTTGGCACTCACCAGTTTGCAGAGCGTATCTTAAATCTCGAAGAAACTCACGACCCTTCTGAGATTTGAAGCCTTGTCGTCCAGTGCTGCAGTTATAGAAATTACCACTGAGCTATCCGGGCTGCGATATACCTTTTGTTGGATTGTATTAGATAGTTTAACCAAAACCTTTACGTGGTTTACAGAAGCTTTTAAAATAAGCGGCCAAAACCGAAAAATCAGTAAATTAAAAGTAAGTAAATATTTTTCTAACTTACTTGAAGCTTTCATCAGCTGAAACGATAATGTAAGAAATCTTGACTAGTTAGAAAACTGCACGGCGTCTAATATAAACAACTGCACTCATCTTCAAATGGTCTAGCAAAAGGTTTATGCAATAAGTTTAGTTAATATGTGGATACATATCTTGTAAACAGAGGATGACCAGTTTATATTTTGCATAATTTACTTCTATATGATGTCCCACTTATGTCTTCTTGTTTGTTATACCAATGAATACAAATTTGAAAATGAACAAAACAACTCACCACAGATATCTTCTAAATTGACATAATCGATTAAAAAGTTAATTAATCAGGGAGATAATTGCCAATCTATAGAACAACAAATGCATCTTATGTTTGCTCACTGACTGGTATCAGTTAGATGACTGCTGAAGATCAGGCAGTACTGGATATCTTTTTCATCTGGGTTTGAAACACTTGATTATATCACTCACCGAGCTTAGGTCACTGACTCAGTTCCAAAGAAAACCTTATTCATGAACTTGGAATTCAAAGGTCATCAAGCTTTAGATATGCTCAAAAATCGTCTCTCTAAATCAGTCAGTAAGACGTTCCCTGCACCTAAATTACATATGACGTTCACGAGCCGCAAATTGTTCTCTACTTCTGTAAAAGATGAGCTCCCCAGTCTGACTGCCTACCAGTTGACCTGCTCTTGGCCGTAGTCAGTGAACGCTCTCCACACGGATACGAGAACATATTCCAGCTTGGTTTTACAGGGAGAAAAGAAGTGTTTGCGGAGCTCTATTCTGGAACACCTGATCGATTTCTGTCACTCAGTCAAACCTGACCATAATTTTAAGATCACACACCAGAATTCATGCTAACTTCCAGCGTTGTCTTCGTTACAGACTTCTGAAGACAACGGAGGCCTTGGCCATTCATGACTTTCAGTCAAAACTTTGTGCACGAAAAAATTATGTATAATCCCTACTTCTACCTTGACCGTAGAGGGATAGACATTTATTTATTTGGTTTATTTAGTTATTCTATGTACCTTTCCCTTATTACTACGATTATTTTAGTTATTGTTATTTGATTGCATGGAGGATTTAATCGTGAGCTGACATCAGTTAGAGAACCACTGGAAAACCTGGGAGTACTGGACAGCCGTTTCGTCCTAGTTTGGGACTCCTCAGCAGTACGCACCCACCGGGATTCCCAGGTTTTCCAGTGGTTCTCTAACTGATGTCAGCTCATGATTAAATCCTCCATGCAATCAAACAAAATCCCTACAAAAACCAATACTTGAAAATTCATCTGATGCTCACTAGTGACTGGCCCTATTCAGGCAGTTAACCTGGGGTTCTAGTGGGAAGCCGTGACCAGTTGGGTACAGCAGGTCGAAGATGAGGCAGTAACTCATCGAAGAAGACATTGCGAAGTGGTCGCGCTATGTCGTGAACTGGCAGAAGTTAGAATTCAAGGACCATTGGATCGGGTCCCAGTGGCTCACTGGTCTACGAGCTCGATAGCCTTGTAACCAGAAGGTCCTGGGTTCGAACCATGGCGGTGGGTGCGTACTGCTGAGGAGTCCCAAACTAGGACGAAACGGCTGTCCAGTACTCCCAGATTTCCAGTGGTTCTCTAACTGATGCCAGCTCATGATTAAATCCTCCATGCAATCAAACAAAATCCCTACAAAAACCAATACTTGAAAATTATTATTATTATCATTATTATTATTATTACTATTCTCACTCTGAATCTTTTCCACTTCACCCACTTGTCATTTTATACCCAAAATTAATTATTTATTTTTTTTTTATTTTTACAATATTGAATTCTATCTTATCAAATTTCACACCATGTTATATAACATTTTATATTCGTCTACTTATCCTATAATTATGTACCCCTTTCCAAAATCGATACACCTTATGTATTATTCTATATATGACATTAATTATTTTGCCACTTGACATTAAACCATGATTATAATCATAAATATTTTAATTGCATTTCATACTATTATTATTATTATTTTTATGTATTCACACTGTTGCCCTAATTCCCTCACCGGATATAATTTCTTATAAACCATATATATACGATTGTACAGCTTGATAATAAATTCGTTGAAAAGAGCCTCTTCGCTGAATATTGTGTTCTTAATTTATACATTTATCTATCCATTCTTATTTATGCATTTGTGTGATTAATAGTATGTTTGAGAATAGACTGTGAAAAGTGTTTGTATGTATGAGGATAACAATTACTCAGAGTTTTGACAAGTTAACTATAACTCATTTCACTGAGACGCTTCGATTTTGCATGTCCGAAACTACATTATATATGCCTTATCACGAACGTTACTAGATTTTGTCAGTGTAAAAATAGTACTGCGATCAGTAAAATAAGTTGCACACCTCTTTCTGAAGAGGAATGAAATATCAGAAATTTAAGTTTGCCTTCTGGGAAGTAGACATTTGTATTATTAAGATCATATTTTAACTTTACTGGGTCATGAATAGACATCAGTCAGCGAAAGATAGAAAAGCATGAATTATGTGTCAGATTTCTGTCCCAGTAGTATACTTTCCAGCAGTGTACAACGTCGACCACCCTTTGAAAAACAAACCTAAAATCCTTTTACATAAATCGACATGCTGTCACTCAGGCAGGTGTTTGAAATGCGACTGTTCATATATATATGATGGATGCTAGCCGATTCCTAGAAAAAAATCAGAGGCATCCAAATAAATGAACAAGAAATAATGGTATCGTTCGACGTGACAGCATTATATACCTCTATCGGACAAAAACTAGCAAAAGAAACCACGGAGCAATCGCTTAGCAACGACGAACACCTTCCACAACAATCAAAAATGCATCACACAAGCTGGACGGAATGCATAGACCTATGCCTAACAACATACTTCCAATTCAACGGCCAAATATATGAACAAGTCAAAGGAACACCCATGGGATCGCCAATATCAGGTTTGATTGCAGAAGCAGTGATGCAAAGACTCGAAAACATAATTCTACCAAAGATCAAACCCAAGATTCGGATACGCTACGTTGACGACAAATCTGTTATAATCAAAAGAAACGAATTAGACAAAACTCACAACTTAATAAACAAGGTCTTCAACGACATCAAATTCACAAGAGAAGAGGAATCCGAGAACAAAATACCATTTTTGGACGTCTTAGTCAAGCGAACAACCACAGCGGAATTAGAAACTCAAGCTTATAGAAAATCAACTCACACAGACCAAATACTGAATTACAACAGCAACAACCCAATAACACACAAAAGGAACTGCATACAAACACTATTCAAGAGAGCAAGGACTCACTGCAGCACTCCCACCTTAAGGAAAATTGAAGAAAAGTATCTCATGGACGTCTTCCAAAAGAATGGATATCCACGGAATTTCATCAAGAGACATATACCCCCAAGCCAACCTACCAAAGCAAAAGCCACCAAGGAAAGCACAAAGAAAATTGCCTTACCATATATAAAGGATATCTCAGAAATCACTACAAGACTCTTCAAACCTTTAGGAATTGACGTCGTACACAAACCAACAAAGTCGCTGCACTCAATTCTATGTCAACCAAAAGACTCAACAGCGAAAGAAGACAAAACCAACATCATCTACAAAATAAACTGTAACAACTGCGAAAAACACTACATCGGCCAAAGTGGACGTCCCCTTCGTCTTCGTATCCACGAACATAAGCTAGCCGTCAAAAGACATGATATCCACTCCCTCATATCACTACACACAGACAACTACGGACATCAATTCGACTGGGACAACGTTCAAATATTAGACAAAGGAAATAACAAGAATGCTAGAGAATTTTTAGAAGCTTGGCATTCCAGTGAATCATCAATCAATAGACACATCGAGATAGACAAAATTTATCAACCAATAAGAAAGAAACTTCACACACAAAGGGTCAAAGTTCAAGTCAAAGAAACAATCAGTTCCAATACAAGTAACCTAGAAGTGTGAAAACACACAAAAACAACCAATCACGTCCAAGGTCACCAGGAGAGATGATTAATAAACTCGTGGAGAAATCTTAAAGCTCACTTCAAATTGAAGTATGCGCTGAAGATGTCACCCAGTAGGGTGATGAAAGCTTCGCAAATTAACCATCCAGCTCAGAGAACACAACCACATCGAAATGTTCAAAGCACTACATGTTAATAGATTTAACCACCACTTTGAAATCATCATAATTTCACTAACGAATGTGTCATCAATCTCAATGGAAATCAAGGTATAAGTTTAACGAGATTTGATGACAATCTTACCAATTTCATTCCTTTGAAAGCAAGTGAAATACATTTGTGTAACGTATACCTATCTATTTCTAACGATATTTACGAAAGTCAACAGGTGATACTGTGATAAAACAATCATTTACTTTATTTGTCTTATTTTCTGGTGAGTAGTCTAATGCTTTGCGACTTTGGTTGCAGTTCGCACATTCTCTACGTGTGTTTATTTCACTTACATTGCCGGAAGTCTTGTCGACGAAATGCATGGACTTGGGATACGTTCACTGAAATCGTATTACCTTCTCTTCCAGATTATTCTGCCTTCTGAAGCCAATTTCAAGGGAACAAAAAGATGGACAAAAGTTTGAGATGACCGACAATCAGATGCCAGCAGAGCGATTCTAGTATTTGAAGACCAGAGGAATATTTATCAATAGAAGCTTCAGTATAAAACTGATTTAAAGAAATTATAAACTGACCTTTATACTTGCTCTTTTATGAACCAGTAAATCAAGGAGATTTACGAAGTAATCTAATTCACTGTTGAATGTTAGAATTCATTTTCGAACCACTGGATAAATATGTCCCTATAAACTCCGTCAGGAGTACCACACTGATCGACGGTAAAATATTCCATCACTCAATACCATTAAATCAAGCCCGAAAAGTAGCCGTCTTCTCATCTTATGTACTCTGATGGTTTTCAGAATGATTTAAGCATTAAATGACCTATCGTTTGCATTACGAAAAGGCTAATTTAACATGGAATTCTAGAAAGAATACGCCATCGTGAGGAACAGTTAAGAATAGACACTAAAGTCAAGTGACTTTGAACCAATCAATCGGATAGCTCGGCATTCCAAATGGGTGTTTTTCATGATCTTCATTGCAAGTTTTTGACTTCTGTGTTGAAAATGAGTTAATAGGGGGGACTAGAATATGCATTTGCGGTGGGATAATGACTTATTAAAAGTGTTGTCAGGCTGTTGATGGTTACAAATTGAGATGCAATCACTGTAGCATCACGAAGTCTTTAAGAGTTGGTAATTTGTACTTTATGATTTTTAGATACTTTCTTTTAGATATTGAAACTCTACCTTGATGAAATGTTGCGTATAAGCTACATTTGGCTTACGAGACGACCGGTGTGTGCTACAGCCGTGGAGACAGAAAATACTGAAATGTCAACAGTACATTGGTATCAGCACTGTCGGGATATTGCCTCATGAAAGACCAATGCAACTACTTCTGTATTTGGAGGAATTAGCGTCATCATTCACAATTACAAAACAGTGCTTATTAAACAAAAAATCAGTCGCAGTAGGAGAACAGCAAGCTGTACGATACGAATCTACGGAAAGGGTTAGTAGAACGCAACTGAAACCGAAGTGTAAAACGACTAGTCCTCTAAGGCACTACCTTCACTCAGACAAGTTAAGAAAAATGTTCGAAAATGTGATCTGTAGGCTATATTCATCGTAGAGTCTTTCTTCCGAATTAGTGAATCCTATCAGTGGAAGTCATACTAATTCGGGAACCAACTAGAAACGGATTAAAATAGTGGACGGTTCCCGAAGTGGTATGATATACAGCGACTTAGATGAACATTTGTATCGACACTAGTTTGATTTGTCTACAGATAATCCTATGAAAAACTGTGACAGAAAACCCACTTGGACAGGGTAATACTTTAATTTTCACAGCTTCTGTACATTAAAGTATAAAAGAGGGTTGATGAAATGTCTTTTTAAGAGGACTCGGTGTATTTGCACAGCTCATGTTATAGACAAAGAAGACGAAATATTGGTGGATACTCTTGTTGAAAACGGATATCCTTTGAAATTTTTAAACAGGTTTAGAAGTCAACTAGTCTCTAAACTTACAATCCATACCGTCCCTAAGAAAAAGGTTTTCATCAAATTACCGTATAACGCGGAAATAAACAGTAGGATTTTGAGACAAAGGCTGAATTGAAATGAACTCTAGTCAAGATTTGACAGAATAGTTCTATAATATTTGGGCGCCGAGTGAGAAGTAGACATTTGTAAAAAATTATGTTTATAAAATCTCAGCGATATTGAAATGAGTATTTCCAACGTTTTTTCGTAAATCTGGTCCGAACTTCTTCAGGGAAATTAATATCGCTGAGATTTTACAAATATAATTTTTACAAAGGTTGAATTCAATCATCCGTAGAACCTACTATGCAGCCCAGCTTTTAATTGTGGAAAAAGCTATAAATATGCTTCACTTCAAACCTCAAAAGTGCACAAGTGATTACATCACATCCCACACAATTTAACAATTTCCATGTGTGTGTGTGGACATACATACATAGGGAGGAGTAACCGCGCTTTGCACGTGAGGGTGGGAGAGCATATCCCAAAATGGTTAGAAAAACAGATGAATTGTGACAAGTCAATCGATGCAGGTGTCAGACTACCAACTTCGTCTATAGCTAAACATCGAATCGAGATGAACCATAAGATTGATGTTAACTCAGCCTTTAAGGTCATCTACAAAAATGGTCATGGGCGTTTACTGAAATACGCTGAGGCTATAGCTATTCATAGACTTAAGCCCCCTTGTGTATTCAAAACATTTTGTTAGTACTCTTAACCTACCTTGGTAATCCTTATTTGATTGGATTACCAAAGGTTTGTGTTAATTATTCTTAATTCCGTTTTCTCTCACATTGTTTAATTTAACCTTTCAATATATATTGACTTGACAAGTAAATGTGTGAGGGATCAGATTGTTCGAAATGTATAGCGCAAATACATCACATTTTTCAGATTATCTGAGTCTTCTAGTAACGCTACCCAAAATAAAAAGGGACTAACTGTTTTAATCTACTTTGCTTGAAAGATAATAATCTTCAATGAAGTAACTATTAAGGAGCTCCCATTTTCAGCAAAATTCAATCTTGCATCGACATAGTTTGTGTTTCCATAAAAATTAAACCTAGAAACGTTTTGCTATTGAAAGTATTAATGCTTACTTTGCTCCTTTCCTGAAAGAATAAAGACAATGAAATACTACAGTACAATATGTTCAGCTGACTATTCACAAGTATTGATTTTCAAAGACGTAAAAGCAAACTGATATCAGATACACTGAGAAACTCATTGACTGTCTAACTGATTTTACCTATCAGTGGATTTGATATTTTAAATGCCACTAATTCCATGGATTCCAAATAGAACATAGGGCTTCATCGCATAGCTATTTGTATTGCATACTCCTTTTGACCTAGCCCTACAGATATTCAAAATCTCTCATTTTTTCTTCATACAGACACCCCCATAGCAGGTTGATTCGCCTGAATTCGCAAACGAATTTTTCAGCCAAAGGTGTAAAGACATCAGTATTTTGCTTCGCTTTGCTTTTCATCTGAGCAAACCGTGTTTATCCAGAAAACAAGCTGTTCTATTCACTCTCTTATAGCTACCTATTGATGAACGTCTTTCGGAAATGATCTGAATGTAGGCATTCTGTTTTAAATTTAATTTTAATTTTGAATATAGCTTGATTCCACACCGTATTTTCGGTGCGAGGATCGAATATTCAGCATGTGATATCAGTATCTCAAATTTGCAGGTCGATCATTGATATCAGGTGTGTGTCGTCAGGGAATCAAACACCGAACCATTTGCATGGTAGGCGAGAGTCCTGGGCGCTGTGCGACCGACGCACATCTAAAAAGATTTTTAATGGATAATATTAAACGATGAATGTAACTCAGAAAAGTATAATCTGTTCATGCAGGTGTATACGAAAAATAAAACAAACATTTAGTACAAATTGTGAACAATACAATGATAATTCAAATGAACTGTCGTCAAGATTTGACAGAATAGTTCTGAAATAATTTGGGCACCGAGTGAGAAGTAGACATTTGTAAAAAGTTATACTTGTATGTATCACTAATTACCAATACTTGGTCAAATTCCTGACTGTCTTTATCTTCTTACGGAGACGTTAAGAAATGTTTTGCAACTGTTTACCCACACACACACACATACACGCTGTGTTTGAAGTGTTTAACAAAGGTAGACCAATATTTGTGTAAGTCCGAGGTCACATTTTGATCACAGCTCATACAATTTTGTTTATCAAACTTGTTGATACTTGTTTTATGACTCAGGATTGGACAAAGTTTTTAAAAACAAGACATGTTGCTTTTCTACATAAACCTCTGTTGTTATGCTAATTTCGATTAATTTAAAACAAGCAATAAAGGTTAATAAAGCAGGATTTAATGAATTCATCAAATTTCGGTAGAACTCGTCAGCTGAATACTCTAGATGCACGGATATATATACTTTTGAAATTACATTGGGAGATATAAGACTGATAAGTAAACAAACTACATTGAATTAATCATGCAGAAAGACTCGTGCGAATCTTTTACAGGTCATGTCCAAATAGATAAGGGGAGAGAGAGTATGAGAGATCAAAATTAAGATAAATGGCATTACGCTTCAATTGCATCACTTAGATAAACAATTAGTCACTAGGGAATATAAGGAGAATTGCAAACAGACTAATATCAATAGTAATAGTTATAATAACAGTTTTAATAGTGTTGAAGTGAGTTAGGATAATCTTACTGATAAAGCATAGTTTTAGATGAATCAAGAATAATAATAATAATGGTAATAATAATAACAATAATAGTAAGAAGAAGAGTTAGAATAATAACAAGTATAGAATAAAACGTATTACCATGGTAGATTAAGAGTTACGACCATCTCCTTTTGTATACAGAGAGCTGGTTTATAAATTCGAATTGCACAAGCCTCTGCAATTGCAAGCATCTTCTTGTTTCTTTGTTTGCTGACAATGGTAAATGACTTGACTGCGTCGATATCATGTCCGTAATCTACAAGATGTTTTGTTATTGAGGATTTTGGGACTTTGAACTCAGCTGTTTTCAACCATTTTGGCAAATGCTCCATCATGCGAGTAGACAATCGCCTTTCCGTGCGACCTATGTATTTGCTGCCACAAAGACACTCAAATCGGTATACACAGTTTGAAGTGTCGAGGATTGGCAAGTACTAGTCTTTCCCAGATTGTTGAAGCACTCGCTTGGTGGTGTTAAGGATAACAAGTTTTGCAGCATAATAAGTTCTCTTGATGGCTTTGTCGAGTCTTCGTTTCACTACTTCTTGTACGTCATCTCATACTGTCTCTCCCCTTATCTATTTGAACATGACCTGTAAAAGATTCGCACGAGTCTTTCTGCATGATTAATTCTATGTAGTTTGTTTACTTATCAGTCTTATATCTCCCAATGTAATTTCAAAAGTATATATATCCGTGTATGTAGAGTATTCAGCTGACGAGTTCTACCGAAATTTGATGAATTCATTAAATCCTGCTTTATTAACCTTTATTGCTTGTTTTAAATTCGTATCGGGAAATAAATGTTTTCAATTCGATTAATTTCCCTGATGAAGTTCGGACCAGATTGACGAATGCAGGAAAACGTTGGAATTACTCATTTCAATCTCGCTGAGATTTTACAAATATAATTTTTTACAAACACTGTGATAACTTACACGCTCTCCCATATAGCTGAAACATTTGAATAATTTCACATTAGTGAATGGTTTAAATAAGCGAAAACGCAATAGGTCGATTATAGTTACTAAATTCTTTTCCATGACAAATAATAGAATATAATGTTTACGTTTTCTAGACCAGTTACAGGATTTCATCGTGAGCTGATATCCGTTAGAGTAGCATTGCGAACCCACCTAGGAGAATGAACAGCTGTTCCGTCACAGTTTGAGACTCTTCATCGGTACGCATCCATCGAGGTGAGAATATAGGGCAATTTTGTAGAAAAATAAGCCACTGGGACACACTGAAGTTCAAGCCCAAGTGGGTGTGTACTGATGAACATTCCAAATCTTGGAGGAATCAGCTATCTGAAACCCTCAGGTTCTCCTACTGATGTCAGCTCATGATGAGGTCCTGTAACCAATCAATCACATCCGTACAAATCAATACTTGAATTTTCTAGGTTAGATGGAAACTGACTACACATAATTTGAGAGCTTCTATATGAATTCGAACTACATTCAGTGATATATTATTAGATACAGTTTCTTAAAGGTGAGTAGTGGAGAATATTAACCTGGCTGGAAAATTGTATTATTATATATTCTTAATTGAGCCTAAGCAATTGACACTGATCGTGTTTATGTACAGAGCTCAATGAGAAAACAATTACCCATTAGACAGAGATGGAAATGTTTGAAACTTTTGTGAAGTTCTACAAATTTTAAAAATGTGATCAATTCAAATACATTTTATTATTAGGAGTAAATTCATCTACAGAGGTGTAACAGTGACTTTCTCATTGCTCCCATCCGCTGCTTGGTCACAGGATTGCATCTAAGGTACATTTCGTCAACCTTTCAGAACAAATGGTGTTGTAAAAAGAAACTGCTTAAATTCTAGCGTCCAGCACCAACCAACAACAATTACATCACTGTGAGAAGAGAAAGATTTCAGTTGCATGAAACATGAATAACTTTCATTTATTCTCAAATTGCTGACAGAATAATCAATCTGAGCACAGAATATCAATGAACAAACCTTTTACCATTCCCACCAATAGAACTTAATCTATGCCTTCTAAACGAATCAAATGCACAAAATGAAATCCAGTGTGTAATATGTGACTCATCAATACAGCCAAGTGAGAAGAAGTATGGTCTTAGCTGCATAAAACACGAGGGATAATAACATAAGTCTAGTTTCGTCGAATGCTTAGTGTTTGTAGATATACGCGTAGATGTAAACTGAACAAATAACACTTCAGTACTGGTCAAGCGCATTCACGGTTCAATCATTTTTATGCCACAGTAGACTGAAGAGATGGATATGTCTTGTTCATACAAATATACGAGACTTCAACACAGACAGATCTTAGCACCACAGCTGGGATTAGGTTACAGAAACATTAGGCGAGAATGCTGTATAAACTAACCTGTAGTAAGCAGAACACAAATAGCACAAGAAATGACTCTCATTGTTAAAAGTAGTGTGAATTGTAATTTGAATTGACACAAACCTTTATATACTGTGAAAAATAAATGACACGTGATTGTATCATAGTGTGAAAAAACAACGTGATCACAATCATAGAATATTAAAAAGCAGGTAAACAGTTAAAAACACGGATCAGCCCATTTACAAATACAGACAATATCAGACAATACCATCTAAAACTATTTATTTGAGCGTATCATCATTAGACAAAAAAATGATCAAGGCAAAATGAAATTAACCAAGTGAAACAAACATAGATCTAGCGCAAATCTAATCATTCCCCCTCGAGAAATAGTTCACGATTCAGTTAAGAAGACTGCCAAAATACAATGGTCGACAGCACACAAAAACAAGATATCTAATGCATATATTATTTTGGTTGTGGTTCCACCGGGTCCTGTTGTTTCTCCCTCTCACCATCATGTGTAAGGTCAGCTAACACCCTAAGATATTCCTCAAAGAGCTTGTATGTGACAACTGACAATCGATTAATTTCTGAATAGATAGGATAACAATAAATGAAAACGTCCTACTAATAATCATGCTGATACTGTGGTGATTTACTATCATTAGCATAATTCAGAGGAACAAATGAGAATCCTCAGCAGTCCTTGTATAACAGCTTATTTTCACACGATGAACACCATCATTTCACCACTATTAAATGTTAAGCAAACAAGTGGGGAAAGGAAGATATTAATTCACACTTATGAACCAAAATGTGAAGATAAGACACTGTTCATGTGGATGAAATCAAAAGGCTTGAAAATGTAATGGCGAGGAACATCGATAATCCCTGTAAGCATTCTCAAATCCTAGATCATTTTGAAGAAATTGGAAAGCAAGTGGATGATTGCTCAATATTTCACAGAAATGGGAAACGAATTCAACTGTGACATGATTAGGTTTCGACGAGTGGATCATGGAATGATGTCAGTTAGAGAACTATTGAAAACCAGGAAGTAATGGACAGACAGCTGTTTAATCCCACTAGTTTGTCAATCATCAGTAGTAAGCACCTACTAAAAATCGAATCCGGGAGCTTCCGGATACAAGACAAGCTGGTATGCGAATCAGCCACTGGGACTCGATTCACTGACCCATGCATTCTAACTTCTAGCAACTCGTGATTTCGCGCGACCACCAACAAGTGTCATCGATGGGAAATCCATCCTCACACTTGACTGGTTGGATCTTACTTGTCACGACTTCTCACTAGAATTCCAAGGAAAACTCCGTCTTAAATCAAGTCACTAGCAAGCGTCATATTAATTTTCAAGAGTTTATATGTAAGGATCAGATTTGCTTGGACGAGTTGATCACGGATTGAACTAGGTTTCACATAAAATGAGATTCATTGCAATAGCTCTATAGACATGAAGGAGTCATGAACGTTTGATTAGAAGTGACGGCACATTGTTGGCTGATGCATGGCGATTCTTGATGAATAAGTTAATTAATTTTCATGCCTAATATAACAGTCCGATATTTTATGTCTTTCCTGGATGATGATACTTAGTATTTTATTCCACCCTAGTTCTTGCAAAGTGAAGCGAAAGGTGTCCTTCTCTGGCAGCTTGACGAAGTAGCGGGCCTTCCAATCAGTAGGTACCTTTCCTTTCTCCCAATCCTTTTGCAGTAATGGCGTGGGCACATCTGCTACAGTCTCAGGGTGTGTTTTTAGTGCTTCGGAGACAGTTTTGTCTGCTGCCTTCCCCACTGGACTTCAGTAGCTTGAACGCATTTGGAATTTCTGCTTGCATTGGAGAATTGTTGTTGACTGGTAGGCAGTTCTGTGAGTCCTACTGGCAATGATAGTATTTCTCGGCGAGTTGCAGGTGATGGTCGACTCGAGAATCCTTCGAAGTGATTAGTCCATTGTTTAATTTGTTTCTCCTCCTTGGTAATCGGGTTTACTTGAGCATCTTTTACTGGTTTGATCATCTGCGTTAATCTATTCCAAGAAATGGACTTGATTATCTGATATGATGTCATGAGATCACTTTCCCCTACGGCTTGTTCTGCATCAGTTGCCTGTCAGTGTGTCGTAGAATGGTCATTTTCCTTTCCTAGCATTCTTCTTCACTTCACCTTTTATTCGGTGCAATGCACATTGAACTCAGCTTTTCCTTCTGTTGCCAATCTTGATACTGAGTCATCTCCTCTGTCACCATCCTCCTCTCCTCTCTTCTATTAGCTTCCAAGTATTTGTTGACAGCCATTGCTTGAATTGTCTCTTTTTTATTCGTAGGAGGGTTGTATGCGTTTCCTTGAACATCGCCATATGAGAGATTCAATGTTCTCCTAGTCAAGTTTCTTCAGTGATCCCACGTAGTGTCTCCAACTTTCTTATGATCTGATCTGTAGTGAAGATATCTTGCAGATTGAAGATTGAATTACAGTGCCGTATCTCCTGTTGTTTTGGGGGATTTCAGCTTCACAGTGAAGGTTTCTTGAGCTAGCTAAATGGTTGTCTGAGCCAACATCAGCTCCCCTTCTCGATTATGTATCCGGCAGGCCGCACCTCCGCCTCCTTGAGCAGTATTGATATGATATCTATTCGGTTTGTGATGTGTCCGTCAGGCGAAATCCATGTTGCTTTGTGTATAATGTTGTAACTGTACACGCTCCCTCCGATCACCAAATCATTGAAAGCGCAGAAATTTCCAAATGATTCTCCGTTTTCATTCATTCCGCCAAGCCAGAGCCTCTGTATTATCTGCTACTAGTTTGGATTGGATTTAAATCGCCCATAAGGATTTTGATGTCTCCATTTGGGATGTTGTCCATTACTGTTTGTAGTTGTCTGTGAAAATCTTCTTTCCTGTCTTCTTCCGACTTGTTTGTAGCACTGTGCGTAATATTGAACAATTGTAACTTTGTTTCCTTCCTTTTGAGTTGAACCTCACTGTCATGATCCTGGGTGACACTGGTTCTCACTGAATTGGGGCTTTGGCTGCCACTGGTTACATCATGACCGCCATTCACTGCCTCAATGTTCTCGTGGTCGCCGTCTGGCTGACTAGATTACATTACTCACTCTCCAGTTGAAATTTTCGATAGTCCACATTCAGCCTATCTTCTCTTGCTGATATCCAGAACTTTACTTGCATATCTTCGCATTTCAATGAATACCTGAGCAGCCTTCCCAGTCTTGTACGTTGTATGAAAATTCCACATCCCCATTCTTATTGTTGCTTGCTTTCACCGACAGAAGACACATCGTCTGGCTGACTGGCTTACCGAAGGCGTTCACAAGACTGCTTTGTCATTTCGCCCCTCTGATTCGAGCGAAGAATAAGATTGTTATTTGAATTTTTGTATTTTTAAAATATTCTCTATGTGTTGAAGTTTCTCAAGCAGTTAAATAGGTTTGGAAGTGTAGGGTTGCTAGACCCACGCCTAACCCTCCCTCTTCTACCGAGTTTCGGACCGGCTAGAAAACTACAAAGCTGGTTAACTTGGAGAGGTTACTAATGTGAACCGGTGACACACTAAATCATAACCAACATCAAATTGGATGGATTCGAGTTTGAATGATTTATGCGTTTGACTAACAATAGGTTGTCTGTCAAATTCGCTCTATAACCGTTAGATGACTGCGGCTTAAGTTGCATATAGCACACTGATGCTAACTTGTACTACAGTTATCTTAAATGGTTTGCAAACATAAATTTCATGGCCATTATAAATCAATTCACAGTCGATTGCACATTCGATAATTCTAGTTGCAAACTTGTTAATAAATATACTAATATTGAAATTATTTGAATCAATACATGTACATAGATAACAACATACCATTTCTTTCAGAGCAGAGTAAGTGAACATGTCAAAACATGTCATGATTCCTTGTCAGTAACATCTATCTCGATTGATGAATTCAAAATCTTGAAAGTGTCCATTATGAAGTGTTCCACTGTTCTCTATTCAGCATGTAAATACACGTCCAAACCAATTTCAGATTTTATGGCTGGGCCAACTTTTGGTATTGGCTATACAAAGATCTGTGTAATTCCAAATAAATGAAAAACTGAGCCATTGTGGTTATTCCACTGATATTTTGCTATTAAATGATAACATCTTCATCCGAGGAATAGTGAGTGAGAATTTACTAAATCTCAGTTTATATACGATAATTTAAATCAAATATGATAAGCATTTTCAGCACCTAAGCGTATGGTATTTTTATAATTCACACGCTTATCGAATTCCACAATCCACGCATATTTTATTATAGTCTTTACTAATTCATCAACTTGACAGAATAAAATCACTTCATGCTGAAGAACCGTATTCAAGTTTCTGTATAAAAGCTGAGATCTGTAAACTGGGGTTTGTTATTACTCTGATAAGTCTATTCTCAGCACTGTATGGCGAAACGTGAGTTAAAACAACACCATTTTGTTTTCCGTTGTTTAACTTAGCCAAAAATTTCTGTTATCTATCTGGTCACAGAATATTATGGTGATTTGAACATGCCTGAAATTCAATGCATAAATCTGCCTTCTTTGTGAATATTCGACTCAAAACTATTGATTTCTAGAGCACGATTCATTTCAAAAGCCTCAAAATTAACTACTGAGCCTAGACCTTTCATTACTTAGTATCAATAAATGACCTTTATTAGGATTTCTATGAATACCCAAGAACACTTATTCTGCAGCTTCAATGAGAAATTACAAACAGAACGTAATTCTCTGACCTATGACGTTTAAAGTTTACAGATATTTAATCTAACATAGCATGTCATTCTTTGTGTGAATTCTAACACAATCTGTACTCAAAACCTTTTGTTTTGAAGCATTGTCTAGTTATGTCGAGATTATACTGACTAAAATTAGTAACATAAATAAGAAGAAAACAGCCTAGGAGTCTCAAAAATGTTATTGCAAAACAAGTTATCATTTCACTGTTGCTCTCACACAGACACAGACACACACGTGCACACTTTGAAGTTTCTCTGACTACACACATATGTGAATTGGCCAGTTAGCCACATACCATTCAGTCTGAACTGAGCAAAACAAACAAGACAAGATCAGACAGAAATGACGTCGTTTATATTTTAATTTGATATTTTTGATTTGTGCACCATATGAAAGTTTCACTTCACAATCTGTGATGATGATAACTTGAAAGGGTCAGTGCTCAAGGTTGTGCAGAAAGTTACCACATTCATTCCTCCAGTGGTTTGGCTGCTTCATCTTCAGAACTTGAAAGTCACTAATAATTTATGGATGATTTGCATTTTGAGTAGTAGCCGTAGGAAGCTGATGTTGGTAGATAGATGTCTGTCAGGTAACCTGTACTTTTTAGATCGGGAGGTTAGACAAGGTGTACCTTTTATCTCCTGGAAGCCTAAGTCTGCCAGAATAATCAATATATTTCCAAATACTAGTGGTTAACACTTTTGTCTATTTCAAAAACTAATGAGGCTGAAATGTTTACCAGAAGTGATATTACCAGTAGACACTGCCAGACTGCAATCTTTTATACAGTAGATTCTAAACGTGATGGAGCGAATCACCAGCTAAGAAGTAGGATGATAATGAGGATTCTTACACGGAACACAAATAAAAAATATCAAATTTAAACAAAATGGGTCTTATTTTGTTATGGTCTATTATTCTTCCTTTTCTTTTTCCCAATTTCATGATGTATATTGCCTAGGCTACCAATGTAATTTACACATGTTTCTATATAAATCATTCGAACATTGAAGGGGGTTGAAGATTATGTATCAGTGTTACAACGACGGAGTCGGCAGAATGTGAGGTGAAAATGCATCAGGCAGTGGTGGTGAAGATACTGAAGCAATAAGAACAAGTACTAACCACTTTTATTATTTAGGGAAATCCAATGTGAGTCGTCTTTTTCATATACCTCTTTAGCATGTTTGAGATTCCAAGTGGTATGAATAAGGATGTCAGTGTCGGAGAACACCGGAAAAGGCAAACAGGCGTTTGCTATTCTTAATCCGGAATGATTGTTTGTGGCACTGAAGGAAATGAAAGAAATGCCAACTATAAACACCAGTTTCACACAAGTACTCCTCCCTACTTCAGAAACTTGACTTATGTTGTGCGAATGTTATTTCCGATAGACTGGAAGCTTTCGTCAACATCTGCCTTCATTCCATTATGGGTAAACTTTTTGTTTTGATGAAGTCTTTCAGTGTTATATCACCATGATATGATTATGAGCAATAAATTGTCCTCAAAACGTAATCAGTAAACATTACTGTATAACGCTGTGAGACTTTATCAAAACAAAAATTTACCCATAATGGAATTATACTCTACCACGGTGCACCAGTTTTAAACCTATATCAATGATACTTATCTGCCTTTACTGCCTCGACACCTAAGATCAAAGCACTAGAAGGAAAGAATTCACTAGCTGCAAGGGACTCTGTCAGCTAGCCAGAAAGTACCTACTGATTAACTGAGGAGACCGTTGAGTTATATTTCGTGCATATCATTGGAGTAGTAGTCTATTAAAATGCTACGGGTTTGGCGTGAGTTTAAATATGAAGTGAAGGATGTTATTCTGTAAGCTGTAAAATGAGAGCTTGTACCCAATAGAAGAATCAGCTGATACTGATAACAGAGAACCTGGTACAATCTAGAGATGCTTCTGAGGGTCAGCGTTTTAACTAGGAACTAAAGGAAGGAAGGAATCAACATTGAAGAGGCTACATGTATTCCTGATTATCGTCTGTAACACTTTGTAAAGGTTTAATTTCTAAGAGATGAAGTTATGAACTTATTATCAGTCAGCTGAAAGACTGTTTCAATCCAGTAAGCGGATTTTTGGTAGAATATTTGCCAACCACGAAATTGGCCATGGTTCAGTTTCAAGCCGTTACATTCAACGCCATTTAGTCTGTAGTAAATCCGATATAAAGTTAAAAGGGTGAACGAAGAATGTCGATATCAACTAAACTCTGAATGTAGAGCTGGCAGATCTATCTTTCAACTGGAAAACGAAATAATGACTGAAATACTTGTTGTCTGTTAAGTTCTCTTGCTGAAAAGCATAACTACTGTGAGCACATGAAAATAAAAGGAATTTGTTATCGTTTTAACAAGATAAACTGCGTTGTTACTAATTTAGTTGTGCTTTGATGCATATTAATGTATTACGTACGAGTTTATTCTTCGTAGGTGATTATTCACCTTGTCAAGACAAAAACACTTGAAACAACAATAATGTGCACATGAGTGAATGTGTTAAGTAAGGTACTCCATTAATTAATCAATAAATCAGGATGAATGAGTGCTTTCATCTTACCGAGTAATACTGTTCACCAGTCAGTCAGTCAGTCAGTCAGTTAGTGAGTGAGTGATTAGAGTGCTTGTTTTGGAATGTGAATTCCATTCACATAAAAGAATGATTTATGCGTTATGGGAATTCAGCATATGTCTCAGATTGTTTTCAATCTAAAGTTTGTGTTGTTTTCTTAAATTTGTTTTGAGATGATACATAGACAAAATGTTCTCTGTGTTGATTTGCAATTTAATTTTTCTTTTAAATTTGCAATTTCTAGCCGACAATTGATTTTGTTAATTTTAGAAGGTAGTTCAGACTTGATTAATGCTTTTAAAGTTGCTACAAAATATCACATGTAGCTGTTGCGTTACCTTCATCAAGCATGTTCCAGATAATCAGGGTGCGACAAGCCGGAGGTATAAATTATTTGAAGAAAATATCTATCGGGCCAGAATTATTTTCAAGAGTTACAAATTGCCTGTGAGCTAGTCAGTTGTAAGTCTTCTCAGCAGTTGTGATTTATAAAACAGATAGATATGACTTCAGATTACAAATGGAAACAACAGGAAACTTCAACAGTACATCATCATAGCATTCTCTTATTTGCAGTCTTCGTCAGTTGACTACCCATTAACTTCTTCACCTCTCTGTCACATGATCACGTTTATGTTACCCCCGAACCCACACCGAAAACTTCGTATCCCGTTCAAGTGTTTGATTCAGTGTATGACACAAAGGTCTATTCAGAGTATTTCCAATCTATCTACACTTACTTCTGCATAATTTTAAGACGGTAGGTTCTTGTTTGGTTTGCTGATATAGTTCCATTGTTTCTTATCCTTTCTAACCAGCCATTCGATCTTAAGTGTCCAGCTAGTGAAGTCACGTGTTGACGAAGGTCTGCAGCTGCCCATTGGAAATGTTTTTGTGACTCTTACTCATTGTCTTTAACTCATATATAAACACTTACGTGGATTTTGTTAGGAATCTGTGTTGGGTGCTCTGCGTTGAGTTCTGTAAATCTCCACACTTACTTGCGAGTGATAAACACCTGTATTGCTTAGCCTATATCCACTGGCTTTGACATTGTATTCCGCATAGCTACTTGTTGGAATGATGGTGACCAGGTCAGGAAAGTGGAAAAAATGACTTTATTACAATATAACCTATTCACGGTGATTAGTGTTTGTTGTTTTTCCTACACTACCCCTTTGAATTCCTGCCTATGCTATCTTTCCATATCACCTGTTGAAATTTGCTAATAAATATTTTAGATTGCGAGATATGAGATGAAGTTCAGAATTTTGAAGGTCGTTCAGTCAATCCGACGTATACACCTCCTCAACTTCACTATGGTTTATAAAGATTATTTGCTGGCAGTCTAAAAATTACTGCGTGTTATTGAAGGCTTTTCAAATTCAATTAAATTCACGTTGAGAGCTGAGTGGTACTCTGTGATCTGTTCCATGGTGCTTGCTGATGTGATTTGATTCCTGAGTAATTTTATTTTCCTAAATCCAACTTGCTCATGATGTAGTTTCATATCCAGAGCATCTTTCAATTTCTTGGGGAGTAAGAGGCGTAATTTTCTGGTTGTACTGATATTAGCATTAATCCTCACCGATCTTTGCAAAAGACGAATTCACCTATAATTCAGAATTTGACAGAATAGCTTAACTTCAAGTAAACGGTTACCTTTTTTACCAAACCTTCTGCAAAAGAGCAGAGAGCATACCCATTGCGGTTTCGGGGTGTATTTTAAGTGCGTCTGGGTGAACTTTCTATGGTCCTGCTACCTTTCTGGTTAGCATTCAGTAACTTCATCAAATACAGTGTTTCTGATTTTGTCGAAAGTTTGCTGATCACTGGTAGTTATGTGACTGCAGGCTCTATCTGGATTATTGTCCATTTTTGCCTGTAGTTGTCTGTAGAATTCTTCTTTCTTCTCGAATTCTACTTTGATTGTGGGTGCATAGCATTGTATAACTGACACTTTCATTCCTTTGGAGTTGAATCTGGCGGTCATTATCCTGGGCGAGATCGCCTCCCATTGCATCAGCGCCTTCGTTGCCGTTGGTGATATCATGGTAGTCACGCCTTCGGTGTGTGTGTGGTTATCTTCTGAGTGACCGGAGTAGATCACTGACTCACCAGTTCCATTTGCTTTCACATATCACCAGTATTTGAATTCCGTATCTTTTCATTTCCTTGCGATCTGGGCAGCTTTGCCAATCTCGTACATAGTGCGAAGGTTTCATGTCCGCATTCCTACGACTGAGAGACAGTATGAAGCCAATACTGGCTGGAATGAAATTCACTTTAAACGGTGTCACGCTTAATAAACATGGGAAATATATGACTGAAAAAGAATTTATTTATGCATGAAATATGATTTGTGTTACTTTGTGCAAATTCTTTTTGCTTTCAATGCATTCTGTCTTGTGATAAATTTGTCCTCTTGCCTGAATTGTCCTTCTAAAACCAATCATTTTTCGTTTGAAAAAAATAGTGATATTCAGCTGCCCTTGTTTTCCAGACTTCATGTTGGTTTTATAGTCCAGAAGACCCATAGTCACAATCGTATGTCGCTCACAATTTTCCAGTTTCATCCCCCTTTAGCATTAGCTAGGTGATTAATAACAATCGTTTGAGACTAACTGACGGGAAACATGAGAAGAAGGCTTCGAAAATGAAGTTAAACAAACAGGTGAATTTGAAAGGTAAAAAGCAACACTAGATGGAGTCTATTATACAACTATCCAACAAAACAAAAAAATGACAGCGATGCCACATTGATGAAGATGGCTGGATAAAACATTTCTCAACTCATAGTTCAGATTCCTTCTTATGGATGACGAAACATTTCACTGTGTGAAGGAGATAGAAGCACAATTATTTCGAACAGCCTGATCGTACATAATATATAAATCTGAATGACTCTGATGATGGTACTTTACCAGAAGTAATAAAGTGCTCAAGAATTGAGCTATTGACTGTTCTGTTTTCTCCTTTTGACAACCAATTTGGTGGGTGTTCGTGAGGTTGTCTAGACAATGTGCTTCTTGTATGGCACGTATACTTGGCTCTAGAAAAGCAAGTTAACTGGTTTACAATTCTCCATCTCTTCAGGTCATCAAGGTGTATTGAAGTATCAGCCTCTCAGTTAAGATGTTTCTCTATGAAGGCGTTTGGATATGCATCTTTTAATTAGAGTGTCTCTGAAGAATTCCGATTCCTTACTCAATGTATCTTCAGCACATCTGCGGTAGATTCTCACTGAAAGAGAAGTGATAAGATTTCTTTTTCTGCTTGTCGTCTGTCAATTCTATTTAGTCTGACTGTAAATGCATCAAATTTGACTTCTATGTCTTCCTCTTGAAAGCTGGACATATGAGGAGGATAATTTATCTTCCGATGCTGCTTGGATTTGAAGTTCGACTGATCGAAGAGCGTTTTTCAGAGTATACAGTATTCTGTTTATACCAGTAATTTCATTGACGTCGTTGAAGATATCTATGAATGGCTTGTGAAATCTGAAACAAATCATTGTTGTTTTGAGGATTTTAGACCAGAGGTGAGGCATGAGGCAATCAAAAAGACTGTATTAATCAAGTTCAATGAGAATTCTTGCCAATTCACTCATGATATATTCTTAAGTAATTTCATCTCAAGAGTTGTTAAATATCTGTAAGTAACAGCAAGTTAATACAGATTGTACTTTCAGCCCAAACAAAGAGGACGAAGACAAGAAAGAAGATTTTCACAGACAACTACAAACAGTAATGGACAACATACCAAATGAAGATATCAAAATCCTTATGGGAGAAGTAAATCCTATCCAAACTAGAAGCAGATAATACAGAGATTCTGGCTTGGTGTAATGAATGAAAACGGAGAATCATTTGCAAATATCTGCGATTTCAATGATTTGGAGATCGGAGGGAGCGTGTGAAGTAACAACAGTATAAACAAAGCAACATAGGTTATACATGTCCAAACCAAGTTCACTTTTAACAGTTTGAAAAAATTGGGCATTGGGTATATGATATTCTGTATAATAGAGGTTCTTGTATTTCCCAATGAATGAAAAACAAAACGAGATTGTTTTTACTGACGTTTCGCTATTTAATGCTAATAGCTTTCTCAAAGTATTACTAAGCCGGAATTTACAAATCTCAGCATATATATAACAAAGAGTTAGGGGGGGGGGAAATACAGACTTAGTCCAACTTAAAAGGACATATTAAAAGTCAAAATAACAATGAAGATCACTCAACCAAATAACAAACGTAATAGTACATCTGTTATGATATCAAAACAAAGTTTACTAACTTGATCATCGTTAGTCAGTCTGGCGTCATGTTTCTTTGTCAAGGTGGTCAATTGGTAAAGATAACTAAACCAAGCGTAGATTGTTGGATTAGATTACTGTGTAAAATTATAAAAGTGGTGTGTGTTTACATAATGAAATTCATTCTCACATTCGTGTTGATTTTGTCACTTCATGGGGGAGAGAGGTGTAGTAATCAGGTCAGATTCTGTTTTAGTCCATCATTCAGACTATTCAGGCAATTTGGATTCCACTTGATATGAAGTGCTTCCGATATTAGACGTTCTTTGTGGTTCCCGAAGTTTTTCTGAAGTTTTTCTAGTTCAACCGAATTTCTCGGTGGTCAAAGAGATGCTCTACGATGCTCCTTTCTTCTGATTTTGATTTCTCGAGATGTTTGTCTGATGTATATCACATCACATTCCAAGCGTTTTATTTTATAGACACAATTAGATAGAGAATCTTTCGGGATGTGGTCTCTTATACGGACAAGGTTGCTTTGAAGTGTGTCTGATGTTTTGAAGAGAACTCTAATGTCGAGCTGATTCACTACTCTTCTGATATCGTCTGACGTCTCTGCTCTATATGGAATGACGACTGTTGATGTCCATGTTTTCGGAATGCGTTTTCGGCCGTACTTAATCTCTGTGTTGATTTTGTTGATGAAGTTCCTTGGGTAGTTGTTTTTCTTGACAGTTTCAGTAATGTTTGATATTCCTTCTTCTTTTTCCTTCTCATCCGTTATCAGAGAGTGTGCTCGTCTAAGAAGACTGGAAACAACTGAAATATTTGTACTGATGGGGTGTGATGATTTGAAGTCTATAGGTTTATTGGAGTGGGTTTTCTTCCTGAATATGGATATACTAAAATTTCCGTTTTCCTTTCTCTTAACTAGGCAGTCTAGAAATGGTAGTTCACCGATGTCTGATTCTGCTTCCGAAGTGAACTGGATTTTGGGAGATACACAGTTTATTTTCTCCAGAAATGAATTGTGAAGGTCTCGTTTTAGTACTACAAAAGTATCATCCACATATCTTAACTATATTTTAGGAGTGAGCATGCTTGAAACGGTGTTATCTTCGAATCTATTCATGTAAAGATCGGCGACTATTGGGGAGACTGGTGAACGCACAGCAACACCATTTGTTTATCTATATAAACTCCCTTTAAATGTAAAATAATTAGTTTCTAGACAGAATTTTAGGCTCCTAATTATTTCACTGGTGTCCAGTGGACATCTTTGTGATAGCGTTGTATCTGATTCTAGTAGACTGGAAATGATAGATATCGCCTGAAGAACACACCATAAACCGGGGAGATATCATATCAATGCTGCTCAAGGAGGCGGAGACGTAGCTTGCTGGATACAAAATCGAGAAGTGGAGCAGATATCGGCTCAGACAATCATTTAGGTAGCTCAAGAAACCTTCAGTGTGAAGCTGAAATCCCCCAAAACCACAGGAGACATGGCAATGTAATTCAAGTTTAACATTCAGAAACTGAAAGGTAAAACCACAAGAGATATCCTTAATACAGATCAGACCAGAAGAAAGTCGGATACACTACGTGGGATCACTGAAGAAACTTGACTAGGAGAACATTGAATCTCTCATAAAGTGATGTTCAAGGAAACGCGTACAACCATCTTATGAATAAAAAAGAGACTATTCAAGCAATGGCTGTCAACGGATAAGCCGCAGGCGAAAGAGATCTCAAGACAATATATGAAATAATCAGGTCCTATTCTTGGAATAAATTAACGCGGATGATGACACCAATGAAAGATGCTCACGGAAACGTGATTACCAAGGAGGAGAAATAAATCAAACAATGGGCTAATCGCTTTAAAGGATTCTTGAGTCGACCATCACCTGCAACTCGCCGAGAAATACCATCATTGCCAGTAGGACTCACAGAATCGCCTACCAGTCAACAACAATCCTCCAACGCAGGCAGAAATTCTAAATGCGTTCAAGCTACTGAAGTCCAATGGGGAAGGCAGCGAACAAAACTGTCTCCGAAGCCCTAAGAACACACCCAGAGACTGTGGCAGATGTGCTCACGCCATTATTGCAAAAGGGTTGGAAGGAAGGAAAGGTACCTATTGATTGGAAGAACCGCTACCTCGTCAAGCTGCCAGAGAAGGACACCTTTCGCCTCACTTTGCAAGAACTAGTGTGGAATAAAATACTAAGTATCATCATCCAGGGAAGACATGAAAAATCGGAATGAAAATTAATTAGTTTATTCATCAAGAATCGCCATGCATCAGCCAACAATGTGCCATTCACTTTTAATCAAACGTTCACGACTCCTTCATGTCTATAGAGCTATTGCAATGAATCTTATTTTATGTGAAACCTAGTTCAATCCGTGACCAATTCGTCCAAGCAAATCTGATCCTTACATACAAACTCTTGAAAATTATTATGACGTTTCCTAGTGACTTGCTTTAAGACGGAGTTTCCTGGAATTCTCTTGAGAAGTCGTGAATAGTAAGATCCAACCAGTCAAGTGTGAGGATGGATTTCCCTGTCTGTCCATTACTTCCTGGTTTTCAATGGTTCTCTAACTGACATCATTCCATGATCCACTCGTCGAAACCTAATCATGTCACAGTTGAATTCGTTTCCCATTTCTATGAAATGTTGAGCAATCATCCACTTGCTTTCCAATTTCTTCAAAATGATCTGGGTTTCGAGAATGCTTACAGGGATTATCTATGTTCCTCGCCATTACATTTTCAAGCCTTTTGATTTCACCCACATGAACAGTGTCTTATCTTCACATTTTGGTTCTGTTATGTACTCGTCGCTAAATTATTGTTATGGACTGGTCGAGAAACTAATAGTCCTGACGCGAGAAGGCGGAAATCAGAAGACCACTAGGTTTGCGATGATACTTCTATTGTCCAAACACAAGGAGACGAAAATAAATGGTCTCACACCAAAATGGTAAGCAAGTCAAGTAGTTGTAAAGTAAAAGTAGTTCACACAAATTGTCAATGCGAATATATATAAATAATTCAGACAAGCGTGGGAAAAATCATTAGACAGTCTTAACATGAATGGCTAATTATAATGGAGTGTCGATCCAATTATACATAGCGAATATAGCAGACATGCCAACAAACATATATGGATATATGTCACCAAGCAACGGACTGTCAACAAACACTCATATTATATATAATATAATATAAGGAGAATACACATTAATACAAGAGACAAGTCCATACAAGTGAAGGGGTCACAGACTAACCGAGCAAACAGAAAGAGAGACCAACATGCACACACACACATAAATATATATATGTGGATACATATCAGGTTCATAAGTGTGAATTAATATCTTCCTTTCCCCACTTGTTTGCTTAACATTTAATAGTGGTGAAATGATGGTGTTCATCGTGTGAAAATAAGCTGTTATACAAGGACTGCTGAGGATTCTCATTTGTTCCTCTGAATTATGCTAATGATAGTAAATCACCACAGTATCAGCATGATTATTAGTAGGACGTTTTCATTTATTGTTATCCTATCTATTCAGAAATTAATCGATTGTCAGTTGTCACATACAAGCTCTTTGAGGAATATCTTAGGGTGTTAGCTGACCTTACACATGATGGTGAGAGGGAGAAACAACAGGACCCGGTGGAACCACAACCAAAATAATATATATGCATTAGATATCTTGTTTTTGTGTGCTGTCGACCATTGTATTTTGTCAGTCTTCTTAACTGAATCGTGAACTATTTCTCGAGGGGGAATGATTAGATTTGCGCTAGATCTATGTTTGTTTCACTTGGTTAATTTCATTTTGCCTTGATCATTTTTTGTCTAATGATGATACGCTCAAATAAATAGTTTTAGATGATAATGATATTGTCTGTATTTGTAAATGGGCTGATCCGTGTTTTTTAACTGTTTACCTGCTTTTTAATATTCTATGATTGTGATCACGTTGTTTTTTCACACTATGATACAATCACGTGTCATTTATTTTTCACAGTATATAAAGGTTTGTGTCAATTCAAATTACAATTCACACTACTTTTAACAATGAGAGTCATTTCTTGTGCTATTTGTGTTCTGCTTACTACAGGTTAGTTTATACAGCATTCTCGTCTAATGTTTCTGTAACCTAATCCCAGCTGTGGTGCTAAGATCTGTCTGTGTTGAAGTCTCGTATATTTGTATGAACAAGACATATCCATCTCCAGTCTACTGTGACATAAAAATGACTGAACCGTGAATGCGCTTGACCAGTACTGAAGTGTTATTTGTTCAGTTTACATCTATGCGTATATCTACAAACACTAAGCATTCGACGAAACTAGACTTATGTTAATATCCCTCGTGTTTTATGCAGCTAAGACCATACTTCTTCTCACTTGGCTGTATTGATGAGTCACATATTACACACTGGATTTCATTCGTGCATTCGATTCGTTTAGAAGGCATAGATTAAGTTCTATTGGTGGGAATGGTAAAAGGTTTGTTCATTGATATTCTGTGCTCAGATTGATTATTCTGTCAGCAATTTGAGAATGAATGAAAGTTATTCATGTCTCATGCAACTGAAATCTTTCTCTTCTCACAGTGATGTAATTGTTGTTGGTTGGCGCTGGACGCTAGAATTTAAGCAGTTTCTTTTTACAACACCATTTGTTCTGAAAGGTTGACGAAATGTATCTTAGATGAAATTCTGTGACCAAGCAGTGGATGGGAGCAATGAGAAAGTCACTGTTACACCTCTGTAGATGAATTTACTCCTAATAATAAAATGTATTTGATTTGATCACATTTCTTAAATTTGTAGAACTTCACAAAAGTTTCAAACATTTCCATCTCTGTCTAATGGGTAATTGTTTTCTCATTGAGCTCTGTACAGAAACACGATCAGTGTCAATAGCTTAGGCTGAATTATGAATATTTATTAATACAATTTTCCAGCCAGATTAATATTCTCCACTACTCACCTTTAAGAAACTGTATCGAATAATATATCACTGAATGCGGTTCGAAATCATATAGAAGCTCTCAAATTATGTGTAGTCAGTTTCCATCTAATCTAGAAAATTCAAGTACTGGTGTGGTGAGAGCAGGCTGCTAGCCGATTGGTTGGCACTAATCTACGTTAAGGTCTAGGTCACTAATATGGGCCGTGAGAAAATATGAACAAGGCTGAGTCAACAACCAATCACAGCAAAGTTAACGTGGCAAAATATGATTCGCAGATAGAGAACTCTATTTGTCAAGGAATCCCGAAACAACCAATCAGAAGCCTGCGTTTGTCTACCTAACTTCTGATAAACAACCAATCAGATGACTGCGCTTGTCTATAATAATGTAGTTGAAATATGTATAAATACGTGTTGATTTTCATAATAAAACGATCTGTTGCTTCGCCCTTGTCTTCTGTTGTTACATTTGGTGTCGCTGCCTCCAGAAAATGAAGATCCCGTGGCCAGCTGCGTTTGAAGTAGTAGACATAAGGAGCTTCTTACGTGACTTCGAGGCTGTTGCTGAGCTGGTGGGTGTCAAGGAGCAGGCAGCGAAGGCAGTTGTCTTGGGGACGCTGTTGAGAGGCCGAGCGAAGGCTGCATGTGACAGCGTAGACAGATCAAATGGCACAGCGTCTTGGAAAAAATTGGTTGAACGACTAGTTTCCGAGTTTGACAGCGAAACAGACAGACAGCTAGCAATGCAGCAGTTCCGGTCAATGAAGCTTGGACCTGATGGAGACCCGCTAGTGTTGGCGGTGAAACTGACTAATCTACTTCGACGCGCGCTTCCCACTTTAGATGAAGAATCAGAAGCGCAGTTACTGTCTTCCCAATTCATCGAGAGTGTCCCAGACCACATTTCTCAGCGATTACAACTGGTTAACGCAACGCAGCCGATGGATATTAGCGAGCTGGCGAAGGTGACCAGACAGCTGCTGAGCACAACGGTAGCCGCTATAGACCAACCAAAACCAAACGAATATGAGCAGAAAATTGAAGCATTGCAGCGGGAAGTGGCGGCGTTAAAGTTGGCTGATAGAAAAGACCGGTGTTTTGAATGCGGTAAGCCGGGACACTGGAGAAGATACTGCCCAGAACGGCGAAAAAGAAAAAATTTCAGACGGTATAATGCTTGTTCTTTCTTTCGTATGAACCTAGATTTAGTGGGGGCTATTGAGAAAGGCGCTCTGTATTCGAAGTTGCGAGTGAATGATCGAGAAGTAGTATGTTTGATAGATACAGCGGCGGCCGTGTCGTTAATAGATAAGAATTTATGTAAGAGTGTTAGCCCGTGTTCATTGACAGTACAAACAGTAGGCGGGCATGTGTTGCGTATCACGGGTAGATCGAACTGTACGGTCGTTGTTGGTGGCTGCGAGGTGACGTTTCCTTTCATTGTTGTACCCGAACTACAGCGAACGATATTAGGAGCGGATTTTCTGCGTGAGATTGGTGCAATAATCGACACGCAAGCGAACGTGGTGATCACGAAATACGGGCATATCAACATGTATGAGACCAGCGAGATAGCAGCGATTAAGCTGTCGACGGTACACAATGTGACAGAGTTAATTAATAAATACGATTCATCTGTTCACTGGAGATGGGACCCATACGGTTATTGCGATAAGGTGAATCATGAAATTCCGTTAAGTGATCCGAAAGTAAGGTCATTTACAACGCGAAGAGTTCCATGTCATCTGGAAGGCGAAGTGGAGCGACAAGTGCAAGAGATGTTAAAAGATGATATTATTGAGGAAGCTGATAGCCCGTACAACTCTCCAGTGCTGTTAGTAAAAAAAGCGAATGGGAAGTATAGATTCTGTGTTGATTTTCGACAGTTAAACAGTATGACAGAGTTAAGACCGTGTGCCATGCCAACAGTGGTAGAAACTTTAGATCGCCTACAAGGTGCGAATGTGTTTTCGGTTCTCGATCTTCGCTCAGGATACTGGCAGATACCGATAAAACAAGGTGATAGAGATAAGACGGCTTTCATCGTGGGTCAGACACAATATCGATTTAAACGCATGCCGTTTGGACTAGCAGGTGCACCGTTTACGTTCAGACGACTGATGAAGCTATTACTTAGGAACTTGAAAAACGTGGAGGTTTATGGTGATGATCTCGTCATATACAGTCAAAACGAAAACGATCACGTCAACCATGTAGAAGCCGTGCTGCGACGCATCGAAGAGTTTGGACTACGCGTCAACAAAACCAAGTCCCAGATAGCCAAAAAGAATGTTACTCTGTTGGGACATAAAGTGGGAAATGGTGAGATTAAACCACTGCCGGAGAAAATTTTGACGATTAAAACGATTCCAGCCCCGAATTCAAAGAGAAAACTGAGACAATTCTTGGGTAGAGCAGCGTTTTATAGCCGCTTCGTGAAGAACTTCAATGAGATAGCAGCCCCTCTATACAGGCTACTAGGTGAGCCAAAGTTTGTTTGGTCGGAAGAATCGCAGAGGACATTCGACAGAATTAAACAGCTGCTCGACCACCAACAAATGACGCTAAAACTACCTGTGCCAGGAAGACAGTTCACAGTGTGCACAGATGCCAGTGACTACGCTATAGGTGCGGTCCTAAGACAGGACGAGGGAATCGTTGAGTATGCCAGTAGGGTTTTGACCCTCACAGAGAGAAAGTATTCAACGATAGAGAAAGAATGTTTAGCAATGGTATGGGCAGTCGACAAATGGAGACCTTATTTACTCGGCCGGCGGTTCCACATCGAAACTGATCATAAGCCGCTACAATTTTTGAAGACAGCGAGAGACCCACGGGGGAAGTTGTCACGGTGGATGTTGCGTCTTCAGGAGTACGATTTTACGATCTCACACGTTCCTGGAAGTGAAAATGTCTTGGCAGATTTGTTATCGAGACCAGAAGATGAGTCTGAGTTGCCCGAGGTCGCTTACGGAGTGCATGCAGTAGAACAAGACCCACTAAGACTTGCACGTAGGCAGAGGTTGGACGATACGCTGAATACAGTAATACAGGTGATCACCAACGGAATAGAAGTGGATCAAACTACGGCGAGTAAGGAGCTAACCACACTACTCAGACAGAGGGATCGACTCAGAGTGAATGCCTACGGGACTCTGACCTGGCGAGAGAACGACGGAAGCTGGCTGGCTGTCATACCTCAATCGTCGCGCCACGACATGATAGAAGAATGTCACCAGCTAGCGCATACAGGCGTGGCCAGAACGACCGACCTCCTAAGACAAAGTATGTACTGGCCAGGTATGAGAGAAGACGTAGCAAGATACGTACTTGGATGTCCACGGTGCCAGCTGATGAAAGGTGACCGGTATATACGACCACCACTTCAGTCGATTCCAGTTACCGCGATAGGTGACTTGTGGTCCGTAGATGTCATGGGTCCATTTCCTCAGACATCCAATGGTAATCAGTACCTCTTGGTGATGACGGAACACGCGACACGATGGGTAGACGCCGTAGCAATCCCAGACCAACGTGCAAGAACCGTGACAGATGCAGTAGTTAGACACATTGTTGCAGACCACGGCGTACCGAAGACAATACTGACAGACCAAGGTCCCTGTTTCGAGAGTGAAGAGTTTACTTCCCGTTTGCAACAGCTGGGCATCAAGAGGATCAGAACGACCCCATACCATCCACAAACGAATGGCCTAACGGAGAGAAACAACCGTACACTGAAGGAGTGGCTGGCCTCGAAGGGCGGGAACTGGGAAACGGAGCTTCCACTGATTTTACTAACACATCGGGCTACCACTCAGGAAACAACGAAGAAGTCACCCTTCCAACTGATGTATGGTAGAAAACCACGATTACCGGTACACAATGAGACCTGGCCCATGCACCAAAAGTGGAGTACGACGAAATTAAAAGCAGAGAGGAAAGAGGCAGTCAAGAATGTAATACGGAAGCAGCGCAGTGATGTCACGAAGTCTCAGATGAAAGAAAGGACGCAGTGCATTACCTTTGCAGTCGGGGACCAAGTGAAGTGTAGAGACAGGAGATATACAGTTGGAGGCGGGCTAGGTTCACGGAAACTCCTTCCAAAGTGGGAAGGACCATACACAATCACAAAAAGACGGGGTCAAGTATATACCATCCGAAGAGGTGATAAACAGAAACGAGTTAACGCCAGTCAGCTCCAAAGATGGGTACAGTGGGACAAGCCGGTCAGTAACAATCCTCAACTAGAGGATGTAGCACCCAGAAGGTCGGAACGTCTGCGCACGAAGCTATTTGACGGGGGGACGAGTGTGGTGAGAGCAGGCTGCTAGCCGATTGGTTGGCACTAATCTACGTTAAGGTCTAGGTCACTAATATGGGCCGTGAGAAAATATGAACAAGGCTGAGTCAACAACCAATCACAGCAAAGTTAACGTGGCAAAATATGATTCGCAGATAGAGAACTCTATTTGTCAAGGAATCCCGAAACAACCAATCAGAAGCCTGCGTTTGTCTACCTAACTTCTGATAAACAACCAATCAGATGACTGCGCTTGTCTATAATAATGTAGTTGAAATATGTATAAATACGTGTTGATTTTCATAATAAAACGATCTGTTGCTTCGCCCTTGTCTTCTGTTGTTACACTGGTATGTAGGGGTGTGATTTATTGATTACAAGACCTCATCATGAGCTGACATTAATAAGAGAACCTGACAGTAGTAGACAGCTGATTCGTCCAAATTTTGGACTTGTCATCAGTACTCATCCACCTGGGCTCGAACTCCGGTGGGTCCAAGAGCCATTGGTTCTGGTCCCAGTGGCTTATTTTTCTACAAAATTGCCCTATATTCTCACCTCGATGGATGCGTACTGATGAAGAGTCTCAAACTGTGACGGAACAGCTGTTCATTCTCCTAGGTGGGTTCGCAATGCTACTCTAACGGATATCAGCTCACGGTGAAATCCTGTAACTGATCTAGAAAACGTAAACATTATATTCTATTATTTGTCATGGAAAAGAATTTAGTAACTATAATCGACCTATTGCGTTTTCGCTTATTTAAAACATTCACTAATGTGAAATTATTCAAATGTTTCAGCTATATGGGAGAGCGTGTAAGTTATCACAGTGATTTGTAAAAAAATTATATTTGTAAAATCTCAGCGAGATTGAAATGAGTAATTCCAACGTTTTCCTGCATTCGTCAATCTGGTCCGAACTTCATCAGGGAAATTAATCGAAATTAACATAACAACAGTGGTTTATATAGAAACGGAACATGTCTTGTTTTCAAAAACTTTGTCCAATCCTGAGTCATAAAACAAGTATCAACAAGTTTGATAAACAAAATTGTATGAGCTGTGATCAAAATGTGACCTCGGACTTACACAAATATTGGTCTACCTTTGTTAAACACTTTAAACGCAACGTGCATATATGTGTGTGGGTAAACAGTTGTAAAACATTTCTTAACGCCTCCATAAGAAGAGATAGACAGTCGGGAATTTTGACCAAGTATTATTAATTAGTGATACAAACAAGTAGAACTTTTACAAATGTCTACTTCTCACTCGGCGCCCAAATTATTTCAGAACTATTCTGTCAAATCTTGACGACAGTTCATTTGAATTATCATTGTATTGTTCACAATTTGTACTAAATGTTTGTTTTATTTTTCGAATACACCTGCATGAACAGATTATACTTTTCTGAGTTACATTCATCGTTTAATATTATCCATTAAAAATCTTTTTAGATGTGCGTCGGTCGCACAGCGCCTAGGACTCTCGCCGACCATGCAAATGGTCCGGGGTTTGATTCCCTGCCGACATACACCTGATATCAATGATCGACCTGCAAAATTTGGGCTACTGATATCACTTCATGTACCAAAAATACGGTGTGGAATCAAGCTATATTCAAAATTAAAATTAAATTTAAAACAGAATGCCTACATTCAGATCATTTCCGAAAGACGTTCATCAATAGGTAGCTATAAGAGAGTGAATAGAACAGCTTAAATACGGTTTTCTCAAATGAAAAGCAAAGCGAAGCAACATACTGATGCCCTGACAACTTTGGCTGAAAAATTCGTTTGCAAATTCAGGCGAATCAACCTGCTATAGAGTTGCCCATGTGAAGAAGAAATGACAGATTCTGAATATCTGTAGGGCTAGGTCAAAAGGAGTATGCAATACAAATAGCTATGCGATGAAGCCCTATGTTCTATTTGGAATCCATGGAATTAGTGGCATTTAAAACATCAAATCCACTGATAGGTAAAATCAGTTAGACAGTCAATGAGTTCCTCAGTGTACCTGACATCAGTTTGTTTTACGTCTTTGAAAATCAATACTTGTAAATAGTCAGCTGAACATATTGTACTGTAGTATTTCATTGTCTTTATTCCTTCAGGAAAGGAGCAAAGTAAGCATTATTACTTTGAATAGCAATACGTAACTAAGTTAAATTTTTACGGAAACCCAAACCATGTCGATGCAAGATTGAATGCTGCTCGGAATCGGAGTCACTTAATAGTTACTTCATTGAAGATTATTATCTTTCAAGCAAAGTAGACTTAAGGTTAACTAACATTTCGTCATCTGTAACGACGTTTGGTAGTGGTTTTGCAAAGTACCCAAACACATACTTACTTGTCTGGACATTGTTGTTACACATTAGGCTCATTTAACACAGTAGCCTCACTTAATTTTTGTGCCTGTTACTAAATTCATATTACCTGTATATCACAAAACGATTACCTGCTGCTCATGCACACAGATAGTAGCAGTATAGAACAAACACTAAATTCAGGTGACCTTGAATCAACCAGTTATGTTCTTCTAGGTGATAGGAGACATTTATTTTATAAAGGAGGCTATTTATAAGACACATATATGTAAAAATAAATCATACAGGGTTTTAATGTCTAATTTGTTGCAAAACATGGTCACAGTTTCTCATAGGGTTATCTTTAGACATAGTAAACCAATAATGAGACAAAAATTCATCCAAGTGGCTGTATTTCATACCACTTCGAAAACTGTTCACCAACCTAATCCGTTTTTGGATAGTTCCCGAATTTGTCTGAGTTCCAATTAAAGAATTCACTAATTCGGAAGAATTCCTTTACGATGAATGTAGTCTAATGGTTAGAGTTTCGAACAACCTCTGAACTCGACTGAGTGAATATTATTAGAACATTGACACCTCGGTTTCAAATGCGTTCTACTAGCCCCTTCCGTAGATTCATATCGTACAGCTGCCTTTTCTCCTACCGCGATTGATATTTTGTTTAATAATTACTGTTTCGTCATTGTGAACGATGATGCTAATTCCTCAAATTACAGAAGTAATTCCACTGATATTTTGCGAGGCAATATCCCAACAGTGCTGATACCAATGTTCTATTTACATTTCAGTATTTTCTGTCTCCACGGTCGTAGCACACACCGGTTGTCTCATAAGCCAAATGTAGCATATACGCAACATTTCATCAAGGTAGAGTTTCAATATCTAAAAGAAAGTATCTAAAAAATCATAAAGTACAAATTACCAACTCTTAAAGACTTCGTGATGCTACAGTGATTGCATCTCAATTTGTAACCATCAACAGCCTGACAACACTTTTAATAAGTCATTATCCCACCGCATATGCATATTCTAGTTTTTCTATTAACTCGTTTCCAACACAGAAGTCAAATCTTTCAACGAAGATTATGATCAACACCCATTTGGAATGTCGAGCGATTTGAATGATTAGTTAAAGGCCACATGACTTTGGTGTCTATTCTTTACTGTTCCTCACGATGGCGTATTCTTTCTAGAATTCCATGTTAAATTAGCCTTTTCTTAATGCAAACGATAGGTCATTTAATGCTTAAATGATTTTGGAAACCGTCAGAGCGTATAAGATGAGAAGACGGCTACTTTCCGAGCTTGATTTAATGGTAACGAGTGCTGGAATATTTTACCGTTGATCAGTGTGGTACTCCTGATGGATTTTATAGGAATACATTTATCCAGTGGTTCGAAGATGAATTTTAACATTCAACAGTGGATTAGATTACTTTGTAAAACTCCTTGATTTACTGGTTCATAAAAGAGCACTTATAAAAGTCATTTTATAATTTATATAACTCAGTTTTATACTAAAGATTCTATTGATAAATATTCCTCCGGCGTCCAAATGCTATCCATATTCTATTGGCGTTTGATGGTCAGCCATCCCAAACTTTTGTCCATCCTCTTGTTCCCTTGAAATTGGCTTCTCAAGGCAAAATAATCTGGAAAAGTAGGTGATGCGATTTCAGTAAACGTATCCCAAGTCCATGCATTTCGTCGACAAGACTTCCGGCAATTTAAGTGAAATAAACACACGTAGAGAATGTGCGAACTGCAACCAAAGTCGCAAGGCATTAGACTACTCACCAGAAGATAAGACAAATAAAGTAAATGATTGTTTTATCACAGAATCACCTGTTAACTTTCATAAATAACGTTAGAAGTATATAAGAATACGATGGTTAAATTTATCTCACTTGCTTTCAAAGGAATGAAATTGGTAAGTTTTTCATCAAATTTCGTTAAATTTATACCTTGATTTCCATTGAGATTGATGAAACATTCGTTAATGAAATTATGATTAATTCATAGTGGTAGTTAAATCTATAATCATGTCACGCGTTGAACATTTTTACTTGCAGGGAAATATGGTTTCTCTACAGGATTAATTTTATGAAGACAATAACTAGTTAAATAAAGTAGTTGAACTACAGTTCTTCAGGAAGTCAGTCGTGAGCCCGAATGGTTCAGTGGTAACGTCTCCGACTGCAGCACTGGATGACAAGGGTTCGAATCTTAGAACGGAAATGAGTTCCTTCAAGGTTGCAAATACGCCTCGCTGACGAGTGCCAACTACCTCGTAACCTAGGTGGAGGGCTTCCTGTCGATTTCCATCAGCTATCTGACAGTTCTTACATATATATATATATATATATATATATATATATGAAAAGTCGCATTTCAAACACCTGTTTGTGTGACAGCACGACGATTTATGTAAAAGGAATTTTAGGTTTGATTTCCAAAGGTTGGTCGCCGTTGAATACTGCTGGAAAGTATACCACTGGGACAGAAATCTGTCATATAATTCCTGCTTTTCTATAGTTCGCTAACTGATATCTGTTCATGACCAAGTAAAGTTTAAAATATCACCTTATTATTACAAACTTCTTTGCCACATAAGGCAAACTTAAATGTCTGATATTTAATGCCTCTTCAGAAAGGGGTGTGCGACATAGTTTACTGATCCTGCTAATATTTTTACACCGACAAAATCTAGTTACGTTCGTGATAACGAAAAATTAGTGTAGTTTCTGACATGCGAAATCGAAGCGTCTCAGTGAAATGAGTTAGAATTAAATGGTTAAAACCCTGAGTAATTGTTATCCTCATACATACATACATACACTTTTCACAATCTATTCTCAAACATACTATTAATCACACAAATGTATAAATAAGAATAAATAGATAAATGTATGAATATTCCAAATTCTGTATATAATAAATAAACCAGCAAATATTAAGAGGCATCGTTTAAGAAGGACTCTGTAGGGGTTTGATTGGTTTCTGGTATGATCACTGATTAACATCAGTTATGGAATGATTGAAAACCCGTTAGTACTGGATAGCTGTTTGATCAATAGTCAACAAGTCAGCCACATAACCTGAATGTCTTGTTGTACGTCCCCTAGTGAGTAATGAGTGGGTAATATAATGAAGTGTTCCAAACTCGGATGAAACAGCTATCTAGCACTGTCTGGCCTTCAACAGTCATCTAACTGATATCAGTCGGTGAGCAAACATCAGTCGCATTTATTGTTCTATAGATTGGCAGTTATCTCCCTCATTAATTAACTTTATAATTGATTATATCAATTTAGAAGATATCTGTGGTGAGTTATTTTGTTCGTTTTCAGATTTTTATGCATTTGTATGACAAACACGAAGACATAAAATGAGGCGTTATATAGGAGTAAATTATGCAAAATATAAGCTGGTCATTGGCTGTCTACAAAATAGGTATCCATATTTCGATCATATTTATTGAATAAAACTATTGATATATCTTTTCGACAATAAGTCTAGTTGTTTATAAATAGTGCCATCGAGTTATTAAGCTTTTCAAAATTTTTTTCATTATCATTTCAGCCGATAAAGACTTCAAGTTAGTGTGAAAAATATTTATACTATAAGCAAGACAAGCTT